TTTTTAAAAAAACAGGGCTTTTTCAATTCACGAACTTTCTAGAACGGAGTATAAAAAATTGGCCCATTTCTAGAACGGGGTATCGGTTTTAGGGCGAATTCTAGAACGGGGTATAAAAAATTGGCCCATTTCTAGAACTGGGTATCAATTTTAGGGGAATTTAAAACGGGGTGCCAATTTGGAGTCCTGGGCGGCACATACCCACCCAAAAAATACCCAAGTGCCCCCCCGCCCGGGGGTTCCTAAAGCCACGGAAGGCTGGACTGGTGGATTCCAGTCTGATTTCATGTGAAATGGATGTGGCTCTCTTTCTTTACCGTAATATATGTAATGGAGGCGCATTCGTCTAGCAAAGAGATCAAAATCTTTTAGGAGTTCTCGCCTGATGTTGCTTTCTCTTGTTACGGGTGTAGGGATAAATTTTAAACCCCGGGAGAGCAGAGTGATTTGCTCATCTGTCAGTTGTTCATTTGACAGGTTTCTGATGTGTTTTCTGTGTGACTCAATTATGTTGTTGTAACTCATTTTCCCTTTGTTTCTATGGCGTTCTTTTCTCTTTCGGTTGAAAACCGTTTTATCTTTTCGCTACTGATGGTTGAGCCAGTGGGTTCCAGTCAGATTTAACCTAGAAAGGGTGAACTTCCCTATTTTTTCCGTGGAACATATATTTAAAGCGCGTTTTCCGATTTGCTCTTTTTAGCATTAAGTTAACTTATGTGCGTGTTGTTCAAGCGTTTGACCAAAACAAATTTTCTCAAAATATTATCAAGAGATTACACCAGTCCTGAAAATAGCTCCTATGGGTTCCCACTTTTACCCAACCCCACCCATTTTCATACATTGTGTTATGTTTGTTTTGTTATGTTATTAGTTATCGAGTAGTTAAACAAATCAAAAACTTGTAATATTGTAAATTATTAATATTTAATAAAAATTAGTAACATTGTTAATTATTAATTATGATTAAAAATTAATTTTAATCATTACCAGGGCTCCTGTCATTACCCACACCCACGACTTTTACCCACACCCACACCCACGACCCACGACTTGTACCCACGACCCACTCGGACTATTAGACAAACTCACCAGGTAAGCAATCATGCTGAAGGTGTTAAATGTTCTTGTGACAGTCTTCGCACTGAAGGTGTAAATGTTTTTAACCGAGAGGTCGCTTTGATTATCAGAAAGACCTGTCAACTTTGATGATTGAACTGATTAAATCACGGGACAGAAATCTTACTGCTTGCGGCTCCTCGTGTGTCTTCACGTCGACCCCGAAATGATCCCCAATTAATTTTAGGAATGGAATAATATCCTAGAATTATGGATCGATTAAAATGCACAACACTTAAGTTTCACTAATAATCTTCACTTGCCCACATTCTTTAATGACAATTAATTTGGGATTACACTTTGAACTGGATTAAACAAAATTAATACACAAAGTCAATTATATTTTTAGTAACACCATGAACTGCAACTGACAGAGCGGTTTTCACTTGACTGTCGTAAAACCTAAACCAAAGTAAATACACTAGCTAACCAAAGGGCGTAGTAAGACCAAAACCAAAACCAAAACCAAAACCAATCCCTTTCGACAGTCAAGTGAAAACCGCTCTAACATCAAGCCATGACATAATTTTTTACTATTATTAATACTTAGGTGATTATAGCCCGGGTTACGGAGAAAACCGCATGGATGTTAAATTCTAAATGATGTTAAAACTGCATGCCTTGGATATTGAATTTTAAAAATGGTGTTTTAACACTTTTTATAATTTTGAAATGATGTTGAAGATGCAAAGGTAGACATAAAGGCGATTAGATGACAAGAGTGCTAAAAAATCACATTAACTGTAGTGAAGTGTTAAATGCGATTCAAGAACGTAAACGCGGCAACAGACTTATAATAATTCCGTGGCCGAACACCATTCCATTCCAAGAATTAATTGGGATCATTTTGGGGTCGACGTGAAGAGAAATGGGGATCATTTCGGGGTCCATTTGGGGATCATTTCAGGTTTGGGGATCATTTCGGGGGCTGTACAGTAGTCGCATTAACGGAATGAAGTTATAAAAGATTCAGGTGTGTTTTGCGGTTCCTTAAACGCTACCTTTAGGGAACAGGCCCACAACATGTCAAAAAGCTGTGGCTACGCCCCTAAATTAACCCAATAAGTAACCGCGGCATCTTGCTTGTGGTCTTTGCTCAATAGATTAAAATCCAGACGTAGTTAATCGCTAAAAAAAATCGATATCAGAAATTAATCGATATTAATCGATTTAATCCACCGATTGATATATAATGGTAATTGAACTGAGTGGAGTGCAGTTTGGTCTGAAATCATGGATTTCTTTGCTCAATAGATTGAAAAAATCCAGACGTAGTTAATCGCTTTATTAAAAAATCGCGAATTTAGTCAGTACTAATAATTGATCAATCGGTTTGTTAAAAATCTGAAACAAAAAGGCTTTTAATCCAGTTCCAGAAATTGATATATAGAACAAAAAGATTGATTTAAATGGGAAAATTGATTTAGAAAAATCGATTTGGAACAGAATTCAAAAAAACAGAAATAAACAATTTATTCGAGTGATTTCAAAGTGGATGTAATAAATTTTTCCTTGTTATTGATAAAAATAATCAGAAATAACAAATCGGATTTTAATCTTGATCGATAGTAATCGAACAACACCCTGTGAACAACACCCATGAGACCGGCTTAAGGTTAACACCAGGCATTTTACTTTTGATGACTTCAGTAACTACTCCAGGCGCAGTCTTCATCAGATCCCTGTTTATTTCGTTTCCTGGTTTGTTTTACTTAATAGATCTTTACATGTCCATTTAAAGCAGATGTGTTTCTTTCTTAATGCGACTCGTTGTTATTTTCTGCCATTTTCGCAGTAATATTCCTTTCCTTATTATGAACTGCGCTTAAGCTAAAAAATGCAACCAAAGAGCAATTTGTTTCCGTCAGTGATTTGTTCCTTTAGTATTTTATCAATTAAAACGAGTGCATAATATCACGACTGAATGACTCAATAATTCCGTACGGACTACATCGTGTTAATGTTGATGGATAGTAATCGATGACAATCGATAAAAAAATCAATATCGATTTCTATCGGAAATCGATATCAATCGAAGTCAGACTTTTTTTCTTTATCGATTTCTATTGATCGATATTGGAAAACTATGTTCATTGATGATTGATATCGATTACTATCGATTAACATCGATTATCGGTTCATCGATTGACTACGTCTGGTTAAAATGCATTCTGATCCTTTGAATTCTTAACTTTTCCAAATGGAGAAATATTTAGAGAGAATATTTTTTTTTAGACATCGCAAACGTAACATCGAATTACTTGTGACCGGATATGTAATCAACCATCTTACCGACCGTAGATTGTCATGCACCTAACCGCAACGCTGGGTTGTGGCAAATAGCCATGGGAGTTTAACGCCTCGGGCAAATGCCTGCTGTGAATTCCTTAACTGCCCTAAGCCTATCATGCTAGCCCAAAAGACTAGTACCGACCCGACCCTCACCCGAGTCAAGGTTTTTGTCGAGGGTTCCATGATTCATCATAAAAGGAACTATTTGTATACCGGAGAAAATACCACCCAGGTCACTGTGAGTTGTGTTCGATTTCCTAGCTGCATACTCCAGATACTTAAACAAGAGGTCGTTAGTTGGTAGATTCGCTTAAAATGATACGCTGATGTTGTTGTTTTTTGTGCTTTACTCACAGGCAGCCATTACAAGAGAGACAAGCGCTCCTGGCCATCACGGTTGCTAAAGGGGGGTCAAAAGCAGTATCCAAAGCAAAAGCAGGGTAAGACGTGTAAAGTTTCTCCTTACAGATTATCCATTCAATACTATGGACAGCAGTGGTCAGTATCAGAGATCTGTTAGGCCCGACAGAGTCAGGTTTATTACAGCACCGAACGGTTTCAATCTTTCCGAGAAGACTAGAGAACCCGGGAACGAGGTTGGGACGGGTTATTTTATTGGTATTTGTTGTTTTCAGAACCAGGGACAGAAGAAATATTTACTTTTGCGTTTAAGGTTACGTAAGTAAACATTTTTGCCACTCAATGATTTAAACATAGATAATTTCGTTTTGCTACATTTAATATGCAGTTTTTTAATACTACAGCCATCTAATATTCTGACTACCTTTCTATCTCTATTCTGATAATTTTGCAGACACGTATTCGTTCACACGGCTGAGAAGTGCCCCACGTTACAAGCTCTCCATACATGATATTTACACTAAATTGTAGAATCTTATATTTATTTTTACATACAAGTGAATTCTCTGTACAAATATATACAACTCGCCACCCTTTGCGCAAGTTTAGCGGCAAATATATTGAAGTTTCTTTGGGTGTTTCGCATAGCACGATAATTAAGATCAACCTCGGTTTCACAAATTATAGCAGGACAAAAAACCAAAGAATTGGGTAATTCCCATTTTACAGAAGTTAGTCAGACATTGTAAGTGACTATTTCTATCAGCGAACGAACATCGTATCGTTAATTTCAACAGTTAAATGTTGTTTAAGTTCATAATAAATAACCTTTGCATTAACTTATTTGCCTCTCTAATTGAGAGAATTTTAAATGCAGAGAATTGGTTACACCTTAACAGGTTTTCCTTTTGCCTTTTAGCGCCTATTAAGACCCTGTTTAGATGGAGTGGGGGACCCCGGTCTAGTGGGGTAGGTTTCTTTTGTTCTGTGTCCCACAGAGCGTGAAAACAAAAGAAACCAACCCCACTAGACCGGGGTCCCCCACTCCATGTAAACAGGCCCTAAGGCAATAGAAGGTTAAGTGTATGCATGCAGACATTGTTAAACCATACACCTTAGCTGTTTTCTTTTACATTTTTCGATATTGCCGTCTCTTTTAGTTTTCTTTCACGGGTTGAGACTAGAAATCATAAAATCAATATTACTTTCGTTACACATGACGCACGACCATATCAAGCAGCTATCCTTGAACTAGGAGGAGAACGCTAGAATTCAAGTTACCAACCAGGCATTCGCTGTTGCCACAAAAGGCCGGCGCCACGATGAAACACTGCAACGACCTGATGTAGGGCTGTGAGAATTTTCTGTATCAGAGTTTTGTTATAGCAGGGAAAAACTTTAGCTAAGACTGTATCGACGTTGGATGGTCTCTCTCGCCCAAGTCTCAATACCCAGGACAGTGAAACGTCGTTAATACGACCTCGTTCGGGTCATGAAAATTTGGTCGTATTAACGGAGTAGTTTCACATTATGACCCTTAGCTTTTCTCAAATATTTGAATGAACTCTGACAATGTACATGATATCACACTCGAGCTGGTGTTGTAGCGGGTTCCACCATATATACATACTTGAAAATCCAGTACACTTCAGCCCACTTTTGATCAATTTGTACCCTTTGCAATAAACTCTCGCCAAGTAGCTTACAATTTTTTGCGAAATAGCCAAAACGAAACACAAAATGGCCAAGTTTCGGTTCTCGCATGCAAGCTCTGACAAAACCCTGGGTATAAGTTAACGTTATCTATTTACAGCAGTGGTACTTGCGCAACATGACAACAAAGCCATATCAGTAAGTACTTCATGACAGGCCAACATATAGTCTCCCTATGTATGTCCAAGTTGGCAAATGAAAATAACATGAATAGGGAGACTATAAGTTAGCTTGACATGAAGAACTAACCGCCATATCATTATTAAGTTAATTCATTGCGTGATACAGTTCATACGTTACTTTGCTTGCGTGACTCAGTGGGGTTACTGCCAGATTCAGAACCATTTTCTTCCTCTTCAATAACTTCATTTTTCAGCGAGGTTTCTATCATCATCAACTCTTCGTCCGATCCCTCCACATCATTCTCTACGCTGATTTCAGATTCCACTTTATTCGCTTTCCGTTTTTCTCTTTCCTCTTGCTTAATCACCTCCAGCCACATTTTATAATTGTTCTCAATGTTTGTTATCAAATCACTCGTAATCTTACGCCGTTTCCTGCGTCGGGATTTTTTCGACTTTCTTCGTTCGCCTTCGGGATTTCTCGTCCCTTCTTCGCTAGATCCTTCGTCATCGCTCTCCAGCTCTGAACTGCTTGCGTCGGTCTCGACCCATTCCCCTGGCAGAAGACCCGCGTTCGCGTAGGCGTTATAGAGAGGGGCTACCAAATGATTGATAAACGACTCTTGTAACTGCGCGACGTGCGGCTGGTCGCGATCCATGTAAGGAGAAATTGGCATTCCACGCGCAAGCTCTTCATCGCCCTGAAAACAAAATAAGAGGACATTAACACACGGCTGGGTCACTAAAACCCAACTGACGGAACAACTGCCTGCAGATTGTTAGGGGAAACGTTTTTTCATTTATGTGATTGAGACCTTTTCCGGTTTTAAGTTGTTTAAAACCCTGGGTCCCCAAGCCTCCTGCGCGGTTTCCAGTTCTCTGTAGTGAACCAATGACCCGCAGCTACGCCGAAACATTTCGCCTCGTGCGTCCTCGCGCGAGAAAATACTCTGGTACCCAGGGTGGTTGTTTTCCGATTAGCCACAAATAAAACAACATAAATATTAAAGATAAATAACACGCATCAAATAACGGGAGGCGAAGAGAGCGTACGAAACCAAAGGTTTTTAGAATTGCGATTCAATTTTATTTCTCACGTTGAGGTGCAATTGCAGGTTGTTTAGCCTGTACAAAAGCTCTACATTTCAAGTTCCGAGCGAAGCGGGCCGCGCGTTGTCTCCTCTCGTGACTCGCGTGCCACTCGCGCGATTTCTCACGATATCCCCCCACAAGAAGAGCTTGCTCGCAGGCTAGTCGTAACTTGGACTTGAGCATCTCTTACTGATAAATTTGTTACCTCCACACATTAACTTTGTGGTCCTGCCACTGTCGGCATAGCCTGTTCAGATCGTGCACAGTGGCGCAAAATAGAGAGTGACTTAAGAAAAAGGGAAACCCCGTCGCTGTTTTTTCCTGCTCGATTTTCTTCTATCAATCAAATCTGAACGCCTGGAACAGGCTAGTCGTTGACCTCTCACATGGTCTAAACGATCCCTTGCTTGAAAAACCCTCAAAGAACACTGGTCATCATACCTGTTCATAAAATTCCTCAACAATCCGTTCGGTCCATCGAGTGTGCAAATCTCTTCGCTTACTTGGCCCTGATATGTCTGCCATCTTAATACAGATCTGCAGTGTTAAGAGACGGTCCGCCTCTTGACTCCAATCTACACCGCCCCCCTCAGAGATCTGTAATTCAAAACAGTGAAGAGTTATCAGCCCCTCAATGCTGCCGCAAAGATTCTCGCGACTTCGCTGTTTGTTTGCGCATCTCTCTAAGCAGCAGATCTGGAAGGCTGTTTGTCGTGTTTACATTCAGGGTCCAGTTTTTTAATTAGAGTGTTGAAAAGGATATAATAAAATTATCAGATAAAGACACAAAATGGAATGGTTAGGGTGCTAGAAGCCCCCCACTCTTTTGACTTTCGGGCCCTAAAAGTTGTCCCTGTGTCTACGTAGGTCAAGCGATCTATTCACTTTCCCGTTACCGCAAAAAGAACGCCTAGCTGTGAAGGTTTCTTTGCACATAACGAGAATAAAAACAAACTACTACCTTCGCATTGAACTCTGATAGCAAATCAAAGTGTCTCTTGAGGTCAGTGGCCAGGATAGCCTCGATGGCCAGAAATCTGAAGCGTTTAAATTCCACCGGCTCCATCTCGCACAAAAAATTATACTTAGGGTCGGACATGAGAAGAGAGAAAGCGGCTGCAGCGTGATGGTTTTCCAGCACTGATCTGTCATTATAAAGCAACGCCTGGGAAAAGAAAGGAACAAACAAAGACAATAGAGACCTTAGATTCTAGGAAGAGAACGACTACGAGAAGGAGATTTGACGTAGTTTTTTTCGCGTATTCTTCTGCAGGGCGTGCCCCAAGTTGGCTAGCCTATTCACACACCCTCTATTTTCTTTTTAGGGATCCTTGGGCGCGTGTATGAAAATAAAAACCACGGGGGATTTATTCACCGCGTCGAAAAATAAAATAAGAAAAACGTCTCTGGACAGGCTAAAAGTTGGTAAGCAGATTCGCCGGATAATGTTATGCTACTAGCGTCTTCCAGGCTCTAAGATAGTGGGGAAGAAACGAAAGTGAAAGGCACGCTAAAAGTTGGCGCTTTTTTTCACGTTTGCGCTTTCTCAATTCAGCGGACCCGGCTATCTCGGAGCCTCGAACAGACTATTACTGCTACATGCTCAGCGGTAAATACCGGGGGGTTACACGGTGCTGGTAGAGGACAGCCTTGGTTTGTTTTAGTTGTATTTCAGATTTTCATTGCGGGTTCCTGTTCTTCTCTTTTCTCTCAGATCATGCTATACCCATGTCTAAACTAATTTCATGAGCATCCTTCAGCCTTTTGGCTGCCACTTCTTCTGTTCAAACTTACCTGTTGCGACAGTGTTGCGACAAGAAACGCATTTGTCCTTCCAGGATGGTCATAATCATGCATAGTGGCCGCAGTGTACAGCGCTAAAAGCTCTAACAGTGGAATGGAGTCCTTTAATGAACCATAATCTCCCTTGTTCGTTTTCTGTCGCCCTTCTCCGTTAAGCCCGCTGTCTGAATCCGACCCACTGTCCGTGCTTAATTTTGAATTTATGGGACAGAAGCCGGGTATCTCTTTTGTGGTCATGAAGAAAACCCCATGAAGAACGTCGGACGCATGTATACTATTGTGATCTGCAGAAAAGAGAATCATGGCACTCAGTCAAACTTCCCAATAAAAAAGACAAGAGCACAAAAAACAACAAAAAGTGTCCTGACGCTGCACACTAGGCTCTCTCAGGGCACTTCCTAAAAGTCAGAACAGGCTGGCTGGACAAATGAGACAGGCTTTTTTTAAGCGCATTACTTTTGTGCATAATACTTAGAAATGGACTGATCTGGCTGGATAGTTCTTATTAACAAGGCCTTGTCACGCTAGTTGCTATCTTTTTGAAACGCTAAAATGTGTCCTCTGGTCAATTGAATTCGAACAATGGTCCAGTTTTGTTAATTCAGAGTATATTTAGCTATTGTGACTGTTTCTTTTCGTTGGTTGCTACAGCTGGTAAGGATTGACATGGAATGAACCTTGAAAAATTTGCCCCTCCCCTACCCCCCTCCAAAAAAAAATATCATTACCAATGCTCCCTCATGTTTGATATCTTCTTCAGTACTCTATAGGAGTACGTATTTTGTGTATGGGTGATGCCACAAAGTTATGACTTCAGCACAGAACTGACTTTAACAACAACATTGTGAAGTATCCCCTTTAACCCCTAAGGGTGATCAGTATCAAAATTGTCCTTGTGATATCAATGTTTTATGACAGACTGGTGATGAGAATCAAGGAGATGATCACACAAGATACAATGAGTTGATACTTCAACAACTTCTTGTTACTACTTTTATAGGAAACGTATAGGGACATCAAATGGGAATTTGAATTTTGATACTAGGGCTTAAGGGGTTAACTGTGGAATTCTCTTTATAACTGGACTGGTCCCGTCTGGGAGCCAATTCTGACAAATTAATGATAAGCACCCTTTTAAAGACCATGTAAACATGCCAAGCCATTGCTGGAATTGATCACTGTAAGGTACAGGAAAAAATGATAAAAAAACATGATACTTACAAGGAATTTTGTGGTACCCATTTTCCAGGGTAAAGAAAAAATTCAAAAATTTGTCCATGGGAATTTTAAATGTCTCAAAGAGACCAACTTTCTGAAACACTTTGTGCGTTACCTGCAAAAATAAATATATGCAGACTGATCTGTAAACAGAAAATGAGGCCCAAGCAATAGCTGCAATCATGGACAAAAGTCTTGGGACACATTTGCATTAATTTGTGAGGATTTTTTTCAATTCACACATGCCCGAACCCCTTCCCCAACGTTGGACACCAGTATCCAAAATTTCTTTTAGAGTTTCAATATTGCACTGCAGTGTTGGGGGTGGAGAACTGCAAGAAAATTTCGAACAGGATGCACTGTTTGATAAGGGCACCCAGAAACATAAAATACTAAGACTTTTGTTCAGGATTGTAGCTTCTTAAGAAACACCAGCACAGTATCCTCCAGTTATACACTATAAGTATCACAGTCCTCCCACAGACGTTAACCTTATAAGTCCCATTAATTATTATTCATTCAGAATATTTCTCTGTTTCTGATTAACTCAAATCTCTCAGCTAATTCTTATAACCACATTTGGAAGACATTCGTGATATCCAGGAAATTGATGTCAGTAGTACAGAATTGGATATTGCTGGAAAATGAGACAGCAACTAAGGAGCCCAGGGAACAAAGTTGTGTTCGCTTGGCTGTTTTGGTAGTGCTGGAGAAAAAGGCCAAAACTTTTACAAGTTTCTGGAGAAGAAAAAGCCAATTTACTGTGTGAGAAAATAGCAAGAACAGCAAAAAATACAACTTTACAGGGCTCGAAATTGTGACTAATACGGTCACCAATGCAACTAACATTTTCTCCAAATGGCAACCAAAAATTCTGGTTTAGTCGCCACTTTGGCAACTAGATTTCTCTGTGATTTAGATTTAAGTTAAAAAGTAACGTTAAAACAAACACTTCATTTTGTCTTGCTTTCATCATAAAAAATGTGCCAAATTGCATAAACAAATCCAGCTTACCTCCAAATTTATACCAACTTTTGTGCGCAATATTTTCAAACAATCAAATCTGATGGATCGTGCCATACTCTGAGCTGCGTCATTTACATCAAACAAACTGGTGACTAAAAATTTGCATCTGGCGACTATATTTCTCCAGTTGGTTACCAAAAGGTGACCGGCGGATTTTTTTAATTTCGAGCCCTGCTTTATATGAATTCGGCCAAGAAAAGGCAAATGAAGATGAATACCAACACGTTGATCCTAGTAAGCATGTCATTAAAGTATGAATAATATGATTTTGAATGAATAATAAAACAGCAATGCTTGGATTCAGCTTTCGTATGATCTCAAGAATTATGGAAATCTTGGACGGTATTATTCGCTGAAGCCAAACACGCTCCTCAATCTGCACAATTCTTCAAATCATACACAGCCTCGTCCAATACAGTCCACTACCGCCTTGTGGACACCCCGCTATAACAGACACCCAGCTAACATGGACAGAAGCTAAATCCCCGGCAAAAACAGATTACAGATGTTTGACTGAAATAAACTCTAACTATTATAGATTCTCGCTAACGAGGACACCAACTCGAGCTCCCTACAGTGTCCACTATAAAGAAAGTTGACTGTACCTACAAATTCTAGAGACTGATCTGTATTATGTACATTTCCTCAGCAGTTGAGAGAATTTGTTTAAATGCCAAATCATTTTTCCTAAGGTAACTTTATATATTCTCATGAGCAATTCTTATAATAACATTTTAATAATTCTCTGACAGCCAAATTGGACTCGGCCTATGGCCTTGTCCATTTTTGGCGGTCCTCAGAATGTTTTTCATCCAATCATTTGCAAATTGGACAGCATGTAGACCTCTCACATATATTGCAGTTGAAGCTCTCTACAATGGCCAACTTGGGGACAGAAGAAAGCGGCCATTGTAAAGAGGTGGCCGCTGTAGAGAGGTTTTAAACAAGAGTCGATGTATGGATTTTTTGTCCGCCCGGACGGAAAAAAGTGACCATTGTAGAGAGGTGGCCGTTAGCGGCGGTTCAACTGTAATCATAGCAAGAGTCCAAAACAGCAGGGTGTGTCCAAGAATTTCCTTAGAAAATTGCTTCTAAGGCTCAGGAGAATAAACCAAAAGAAGTGTAGTATTCATCCCTTAATGCAGCGTGTAAACAATGCGGTGTCCAATGGCCTGGGGCTAGTGGAGTTTGCTTTTGGGCTCGTGAATTCTGTTCTTAACTGGCCTGATGGGAAAGTGATTTTTTGGGGGGAATTCAAATTACAGAAGAACTGCAATCAATCCTGCTCATCAATTTTTTTTCAGGCTAGTTGAAATGACTTTTGGGCTAGTACATGCTAGGTACAACTTGCCTGAATGGCAGGCAAGCTGTAAAACTGACTTTCTTTGCACCCTGCTTAATGTCAACTTAGCTGATTTCTTTTACCTTATTCCCCCAAGCGTCACTGCAACGTTTGAATTTTAATAAACCAAAATTGCTCAGTTAGCTTCCTCTAACACCTAAGATGTTCCCTTACCTGTGTCAAGATATACCCATGTTCAGAAGCATCAAATATTGGAAAGTTCCAGTCTGTGACCTGATCTAAAAGTTTATCAAGTTCCTTTGACCTGGGCAACACTGGAGTGTCTTCATTCAAATTATTAGACTCTTTTTCTGTGTCCTTAGTTATTTGGTTAGTTTTATTTTCCTCTTCAGTTGATGCAGAGCCATCATTATGACAGTCACAAGTACATGGCTTAGAAATATTCGAATCACTTCCACCGCAGCTTTTTCCATCTGGTTGTTGTTCAGCCTGCTCAAGTGCATCTTTAACAAGCTGTGTTTCCTCCCTGCTAAGTCTTCTGAATACATTTGATGAGGCAAACATTCTATCTGGAGATTTTCTCAACAAATTTGGTGACGATGATGATGAAGACATAGTCCCTCGATCGGGGGACCTCCTTGGAATAAGAGGTGACCCCGATGGTGCCATCTCAGGCGATAATTTGCGTGCCAAAACTGGTGAGCCTTGCGCTGGAAAACTATGGCTGAAGCACGCAGGTCTGTGTTTGGCATATGTCTCTTGAGGGCCATTTTTAGTACTTGTGACAGCACCCTCCGCTAAGGGTGAAGATTTTGGAGAACTCTTAATTGTAAGAGTAGCAGTATTTGAATTATTATGTTCAGTAAAAGTTAGAACTGGAGTACTCCGCCCCAGTGTAACATCAGGATCAAGAGTGGGCATGCCAGTTGCAGATGTAGTTGTTGTCCATGTACTCGACATGCGTCTTCCTGTAGCAATTAAATTGCGTCGAATTCTCTGCAGTTGCAACAACAAGACATTAATGATGACTTCAATGCTAGATTTTTCTCTTTTACTTAAGAGAACAAACAAAAACAATAGTTTCACATCCATTATACACCTAAGGCATTTGAGATCATTTTGAAATGTGATGTTTCATTAACCCTTCGACTCCTGAGTTTTTCTGTCATACTGCTTCAGTTTTGACATACATACACTAAATAACATCTCAAAAGTTCCCTTTGAGGTAAAGGTGCCTATAATCGTACATATTTAGAAAGTAGACATATCAGGGTTTCAAAATGTATATATGTATTAACTTAACGTTTCTTTGGAGAGCTGTTTGCCTTTAGCAGTCTCTTACAATTGACACTGTTCATCTTGTGGCCACCGAAGTGCCCGCTTGCTCTCTTTCTTCGATATTTTCTTGACCAACACACCGTGTATCTGCATGCTCAACCTCTGAATTGTTGCCAGTATCTTCGTCCATTTAATCGGACTAATCTTCACCTAACCTGGATCATCGCTAAAATCCGGTGCTGCGAATATAGTTTGATCAACTCCATTCGTGTCTGATGCCATTTTTAAAGGTTATCATTAGCACAGCGAGGAAATATTGCCAAAAAGTTCGTCCAAAATGGCGAAAAATCGATTGAAATGAAATAACACGATAAACAACTTCATATAAAAATCATATGGAGCCTTTTGGAGCCTTTTTTGGGATAAAATGTACACCTTATTTGGAAGCGCGCCAAAAAGCGCGCTCAGGAGTCAAAGGGTTAACAACATTGACAAGGGTTCCTTGGTTTGCTTGGAAGTCCAAAACATCTCCCTGCCATTTAGAACTTCACCCCATTTTTACAAATTTCCTTTATTTTGGCAATCGCTTATAGCACTGTCGATTTGGAAGTTATGCCAATAGCACGATCAACTACACAAGGACATTCCAGTAAGGAAAGCACATAGTCACATGATTTGTCCTTGGAGCAAGCAGCTCTCCCATTTTTCTTACCAGGAGCTACTTCTGGCTCATCGTAGTTGATGATTTTGTTAGAGAATGCCTGGACCCTTGCCTATTTCCTGCCCTGGGTCAGAGCAGTCCAAACTTAAATCACAACACCCTTCATTTCATCTATAATTTTCTGCCAGCTTTCATAGCCAGTCTCCTCTTGTTAAGGACGGACCATTAGGAAAGTTATGAAGGGGCGGGGGGATTTTCGAGCTGCAGGAATTTTTTTTTCGCTATCAAATTTCTTGTATGAATTTTTTTTAGGCAATAGCATGAACATTTTTTAGGATTAATTGTTGTGCAAGAATTTTTTTACATTTAATTTTCCCTTGCATGAATATTTTTTTGTACTTCACCCGCCCCCTATCAGTTTTCTAAAGGTCTGTCCCTTAGCACAAGATATTAATAATATTAGTATTATTTTCCTGTGCAGAATACTTACCCCCACCATCGGTAAAGATAAGTCCTCCTTCAAATCTGGCTGATCTTTGACTTTAGCCTCCTGGTGCTCATCACGGAATTTCTCAATGAGTGGTGACATTGGGGACACAAAAGGGCGTTGTCCCACATGGAAAGCCGTGGGAGGAGCTATCATTGTGCTGATTATTTTAAGGATGCTTGCCACATTGGGTGGCAAATTGGAATCTGCAAGCAAGTCGGAGATCATGCCATGGGCTTCTCCTAATGTTGTGTAGTCTACTGAACCCTTTCATGGAAAACAAAAGCAGTCATCTTAACACTTGTAAAGATGTGGTTGTGTACAGAAGCAGAATTTTATAATTTAATAGGATGACACAAGACTCCCTGAAGTTACTTGGTAAAACTAATTCAAGAGATTTTTCATCTGCTCATCCAAATTGTTCTGGTAAAACATTCCTCTTGCTGCTATAGAGTAGGAAACAAAACTTACACCACACTTTCAGAAATCCACATGCTGTATGTATCAGTGTATGTTTTGTTAATCTGCAGCATTTTCATGACTTTGGAAGTCAAATGACTGTTTACCAAGTTGATTAATTACATCAAGCAATCTCCTAAAATAACACTAAACTGGAATGATCGCTCATGTTAACCAACTTTCTGAGCTTTTTTTGATCTATTTTTTCCATATGGCTGTCATCAGTCATATCAAATTTCTCCTCATAAATACTTCATAACTATTCAAAACATCTCATCAAAATTTCACAGAAACAACCCAAAATGGTAAGTACTTATCCTGACTTCTCATGCACACAAAATAATTGATTGACAACTTAAATGCCCTTCTCTCAAAAAAAAAAAAATTCCAGGGTCAGGTTGTTTAAAGCTGGGATACGATAACACAAGCCAGGGTAGATCAAACTGTGAATTCAGATATGAAACGTTAAAAAGCAAATTAAGTGTACTCCTTGTTATCAACAATTTGATGATTGGATGCTCTGAAAAAATAGAAAAAATTATTTGAGAAAATGCTTTTGCTCAAAGAACTGAAAAAGAAACCCACATTAAAATGTAACCCTGGGTTAGCGCTGGCCAGTGACACTGGAGAGCAACAAGTAACCTGGAGTTTCAAGATACTACGTGACATTAATCAATGCGAAAAAGAAAAAAATAACAATATTATTGAAAAATATAAAATGCAGTATTCACAGTGGAAAAATAAAATTTACACTACTTCTGCTGTTTAATAGTGAATGGTTGCTAATATAACTTCTTAGGATTGCAATGAATACAATCCTGTGACTACAGGCACAAGAGAAAAATGGATACAAACATACAAAGAAATAAAACAAATTTTCACTCATGACCAAAAAAAGTAAAAAAAAAAAACTTTCTAACACTTCCCCTATTATATGTTACCAGCATTGGTGATAAAAATCGTAATGGCACCTAAAGACATCTTCAGTACTATGTGGATCTCTCACACAATTTTTACAATATAATAATGCCACTGCCCTGTCTTATAAACTTTGCCAGCGATAGAAAAGGAAACCATAGAACTTCATTACAGTAGAAGCTTTCCTAACGGACACTCTCATAACCTTTTAAACCCAAAGATCAAAATTTGAATTCGCATTTGTTGCCCCTATTCATTTCCTTCAGAAGTAGTGGGGAAAAGTTGATAAAATATCAAGCAAATTCATCTCGTGTGATCATGTCTGTAATTCTCATTACCACTATGTTTTACAAACTATTGATTTTACAAGGAGAAATGTGATGCTGGTCACTCTTAGGGCTGAAAAGGATAAGCGGACAGCTCTACTTACGGCTGCCTTCACAAAACCATGTTTTTCTCAACTCCCATAAAAACTCTGAATTTTTATATTCCCATAATATAAGTGGCCAACTCCAGTTATTGACGCCATTTTTGTCCCGAATAATACCTTTCATTAAAAACTGAATCATTGGATAACGCAATTCTAGAGCTCCAATTGGCTTAGCCATTGTGGTATATGAGCCATTATACCATGCTCTCCAAACATGGTAACTGTACGCATCTGCTCAAAATTAAAAACAAGCTGAAAATAGTTGTTTTTTCAAATGAAGTCGGGAAGAATTCTTGATATTTTGTGAGTGTTTTTAATAAAACAACAATTATTCCACTCGTGCTTGTTGGATATGAGATGACTACAGCCAAATCGCCGCTAAGGGCCTAATGTTGGCTATCTACCATCTCATGTCCAATGCGCACTTGTGGAATAATAAACACTGGATATACCAACTCTTACTAAATAGAGACCATAATATTTATTACATGCAAACTTTTGAATACATGGTTCAAGATTAACATGGTTGATGAACAAATCATTTTACACCTTTTGTCCAACAAAAGTTGGACAGTGTATCATGCCATATTGAATGGCATTAATTCAACAAGTTGAACCCTAAATGAGAACAAAGATGGGCTGTACTTCATTTAACAAGGTGCAGCTTGTTGAACAAAGGCAGTCACCATGGTTCATTTGTAATCTTCTCATGCAACAAGCTGCAAAATAGCTCAATGATTGTTGAGGAACAAAATGTTGAATATTGGTGAACTGGGTCTCTTCAGCTTTACAAGTGATTAGGAAACTTTGCTGGCCTTATGTCAATCAAACTCATTCAAATCACAAAACTATAGTCCAAGACACTCTCTCATGATACTAAAGTACTCACAACAATACAAACATTAACAAGATTATAACAATACAATTGGATAAATAAATTAACAATTATTGTTCAAACAAACAGAGGGAACTGCCATTAAGAGATTAGGTTTCTAGTGTACAATTCAATTCTAAAAGATTTCAGGCACCTTTTTATATTATAGGATTATAGCATTTAGCATTATGCCCAAAAGTGGTTTGGTCACTGAAGGTGAAACATTGTCCAGACAGAAATTACCACAGAACATAATGTCACTTCATTAAAACAGGCAAGATTAGGAGATCTGCATCGCATTGTGGGGAGACCTATGAAGAATGTTCTACATGACTCCAACAAACTAAACAGTGAGATTTTCTGTTCTGGAAGATGGCACAACTCCCTCTTAATCGCATAATTGGTTGCCAATAAACTAAACAGTGAGATTTTCCCTCTTGGAAGATGGCACAACCCCTCCTTAATTGCATAATTGGCTGCCATTGTATCAAGCAATTTAGCAAGATCTAGCATTTGCATATGCACATTCTTCCCGGTAAGCAAAGTGGAAAATGTTATGAATGTAAACAATTCCAGATAATCTAAGGGCCATGACCCGATTTCTATGACATACACTTAGCAAATGACAAAATATCTGTTCCTTTGTAGTCAAGTTTTTAACTCTTTTGTGGCCATGCATTGTTGAACTTTACAATGGTTGCATTGCCAAGCTAAAAGCTAGAGCTAAATAGATTTACATGACCTCGTTTTCAAAGTAAATAACTAGAGAGCTTTTTATAAGCGCAACTTGACACTGGCGAGAATAGTTATATATCTCTTTCAACAGCACTCAGACCTGAGCCACTTAAAAATGACAACACACGCACAAAAATCTCACAGATTAGGATAAATTAATCGTCCTTCTGCACTCTGATTTCCATATTCTCTAAATTTAAGTGTGATTGACAAGGAAAATCCGATCTGATTTTCTAGCGTATTTACTGATTTGGTCACTCATGAGCACGTTTCTATATATTGCACCGTTCAGAGCACAAGTATTTGGTTAAGAGACGAATTGGAAAGTAAACCGCGGACCTGATCACTTATAAGTTAACGAAATATCAGGCATTCTCCAATGTTTATCCTTTTAACAAATAATGTGCCTGAAAAACATTATCCTTCGTTGAATGTACGGAGAAACAAAAGCACCCAATTCGATTAGTTCTTGACGCGCTAGAAACAGAAGTAAGATTTTTGAGTATTGTTCCAGAATTGTTGCAACATCTGTAAACAAAGCCAAGAAAATTTTAAAAATTTTCTGACGCGGCCGCAAAAAACTAGGTCTTGTCCTCAACTCAGGAAATATTAATATTTTACCAAAATTAGCCCGGTATTGCAATTTTGAGCGGTTAGTCATTAGCTTTAATTTGCCAAACCGAAGTACGATTTTGACTTGTGGGAAACGGACAGTTGTTTTTTGTGTCATTTGCAAAATCTACAATTACATCTCCAACCTTACAATAAGAATTAGTCGAAAAGTACGCAGCTTAAAGCAATAACACACTGCAATTCACAGTGTCTGACCAAAACAGAGACCCAAAGCTCGTTGGACTGAAATTAATGATCATATTTTCGTTTTCTGATGGGGAGCTTTCACTGAAAAACGATGCGAAAGCCACAAATCCAAGCTCTTTCAAATCTAGCCAAGCTTCGCCAGATTACGAATAATTTCCATAACAAATGTTGAAGAACCAACAAAGAAATGATAATATATTGCACAACAAAAATTGGTGAGTATTGCAGGTGATTTGAGATAAAAAGGGTTGCTAAGATTAGAGATGCTTCATAAATCTTGCCGTACAAACAGCAAATATTCAATCCAGCATCCAGCTCCACCAAACAACACCAGCCGAATTTCAAAGAACCTAGAGTAAACATACGCTATTCAAGTTCACAGAGATTGTGACCTGATATTTTGGAAGATTTTTAATAATCGCGCTCATGAAAGATTAATGCGAATCCGAATGTACATCGCGTACAGTGGGTTTTCTCCCTGCCGCTCGTTCGAGAACACTCAATCGCATGGAAAAGAACAGCATTGAAAAAATCAAAGGTGCCGCTGGTTCCCAAAGTGAACACCAGCTCTACTGTAAAAATACAAACAGAAGGCCCACTGTAAACAGTATAACAATAAATACAGGAAAAATTTTGAATGAACGACTTGTGTCTCGATCATGTATAAATGCTAAATTAGACGAAATCTCGATGGCAAATCCATTCTTGTCTAAAACCTCGGGTTGACAGGTCAAAGATCCTGGTTAGTTATAAACTGCTCTTCCAGCCCATTAATATAAAGATCGTAATCTATAGCTAAGGAAATAATCGATGCATTCACATAGCTTCCCTACCTTTGGTTGAGTTCCTAGCGCTGGAAGCGAAGGTCTTCTCCGGCTATTTAAACTGCTAGTGGATGAAACGCTAGAAGTTCGCCTTCGTATTAAAGGAGCTTTGCTTTGAATAGCTTCACCCGCAGTTGCAGAGAAAAACGCTTGAATGTTTCTTGATAATATCAGCCCACTAAATGCTGAAAAATAGGCCAAAAATGGTCGGAGAAACGATGGAATATCGCGAAGAGTTATCCAGCAGGACATGCGAGCTGTGGTAAGAAGCAGCAGCGCTACACTGGTAGGAAGAATTTTTAGTTTTGAAAATACAGTTGTCACTAACCCAGCCATTACCAGGGTAAAGAGAAACGTAGTTCGAAGGAAATCTGATCCACCGAGGATAACTTGTGTACAAAGCTCTCCTAACAGACAAACGGGAAACACAACATACGAGATCTGGCTTTTACAGTATTTATGAATGAGTAGCTCTGCCCAATAAAAGACGCAAACCAGACAAACTAGAGGCAAAAAAATTGTAAAAATTCGCTGAACCATTGTGCAAACTCCCTGAAGAACTCCCTCGGGAACCGAAGCAAAGACGAGCCAAAGAAGGCACAGAATTATAAATCCACTGCCCGATTCGACGGGCCCAACTTTTAACTTGCCATTCAGAAATGTCCAAGACGTAAACTGCGGCCTGTCAACCGAAGCGACCGAAGTAGTTATATATCCATTGTAGGTTTCTTTGTCTTTCTCTTTGAGCTGAGGCTCTTTTAGAAGATTAAGTTCTCCTGGACGAGCCATATTTATTTATAGCATTCCGAAATTCGCCAAAAATATAATTTAAAAAATAGAACTCCCCACCGCCGCAACAAACATGCTAGTTCGCTCACTCGCTATTCCTTTTGCAAGCGATTGGTGTCTTTCGGTTCACGCTCGTTACGCTAGGTATCCTGGGAAAAAAAATAACCAATAATAGCGCAGCATTTTATCTTTTATTGTTGATCATTTGAAGCGTTGACGTCATTCCTGTCACGCGAAAATCGTCCTTTTGGAAAGAAAAATTGTCAAATTTTCAAAGGAGACTAAAAAGGTCGTTTCCCACGCAATTGATCTTCCTTTTTAGCTAAATTAAGCCTTGTTTTACGTAAATCACTCGTCAAAATAGAGACTTATTAATACAGTGGGCGAAAATGACTCCAAATTACCATGAAGAATTTTCCTGAATGCAAAACAGATCATGTCAGACGAAGTTGAAAGTAATTTGTGTTTTTGCACGAAGAGGACGATTTCAGGCTGTGACGCAGTTCGTTACACGTTGTGTACGATCTGCAATTAACCGCTCAATTCGGCAATAGTTGAATGTAATGACAAGCAAAAATACGAACGTTTGTATTTATAAACGTCCAACCGATCTTTTTAATCTATATTTTGCCTGAATCTCTTTATTCGCGCGATCTCATAAACAGTGAAGTTTTCTATCGATGTATTAAACGAACGGTGTACCAAACCAATTTTCACATTCGCGAAAACAATCGCGTAATTTGGAGAGAATTTCCGTCAAAACAACTGAAGATTTCAAAACACCGAAAACTACCATGTTTTCATTTGTCTACCGTAACGCTGAAATATTTAATTTTATTGTCGGCCTTTTTAAATCCATTAAAATTTACCCTCTTTTGTTTACGGAAACAAAGGGAATAATTCACCGTTTAAAGAAAAACGTGGACTTGCACTAATATGATCTACATATTTATATATTTAATTATATACGATAGTTAAAATTGTCCCGACAGGAGACCTTGTTAGACACAACTTTTGATTTTTGCAGCAGTCAGTATTTACAGGAGGTAAACATTGGAAGAGCTCGACTTTGGTAAACAACTTTGATTAATTATTTTTCAGCTGGAACTGGGTACAAGACAGAAATCATACTGGATGCAAAGGTCTGCTCTCATTCAGTTTCTCATTCAGCCAAGATCTTGTTCTACTTCTTCTTTAGGAAGGTCAAGACCTTTCATATTACTTGTAAAACGGACTAAACTCAATCCAACAAGAAAACGGTCCTAAAGAAAGATGCTCTTTGTAGATTTACAAGTCCATCAAATCTGAAAGGAAAAAATGTTAATGTAATGAAAAAGCACCATGGTACGATAGCTAAGCTTACATTTTTCAAAACGGTCCCAAATCACGTTGCAACCGCAGACTCAACGATTTGTGGTCATACAACAGGTGTTTAAACCTGCACATTTGATTTGACAAAGAGAAAAGATAGAAAAATCTTGTAGGCATAAAAGAAATCAAGGATGCAAAGTTAGAGGATATGATGAACAGAAAATAAAACTTCAATTTCAGTGAGCGGCCTTTCATTTAAGGGCTTCAGAATATTTGAACAATTGCACACCACCGAGCCTGTCTGGAAGAATTATTATCTACCGTACTGATCTCCAGCTTCAATAATCTTTTACAAAAGTGACATTGAAGGATGGCATGATGACATTCACAGTTGTCTACGTCCTTCAACTGCCTAATCTAGCACCTGAAATTAGAACCTTAACCCTTTAACCAAGAGGAATTATTCGAAGAAAAATGTTCGGACCGGCGAAAAAAATGGCTTCGGACCACCACTCCTTGAACGCATGCGTAGAATGCTTGAACGCATCTCCAAACATCTCCAATAAGTTAGAACAAACAAGTAAACAACGTCAAATGGACCGTGTTTGAACCATGAACGTTTCTGTGATTACTTGTCTTAAATCTTTGAAATTGCAGTTATTTGCATCTTTGTAACATTTATCATCGTGAGCATTTGTAATAAAATAATAATAATAATAATAAAAAAATTAAAACGCTAAAATGTTTGTGTTCGGATATCTGTGTTTCCAGCTAGAACAATTTTGGGCGAAGAGACAAAGCCAGAGTAATATCAACATGTCCGGAGAGTTCAACGGCTGTGGTTTTATTCGACAGTATTCCGTTTCTGACTGCGAGCAAGCTCTTCCGGGCGAAGAAGGCTAGATTACCAGCATCCTCAGTCAAGCGAATGCTGGCTCTCCTGATTGGGCACCTGAGTTCTTTTCGTGCGGTTCGTACCAACGGCTATTAGGGACCTTAAGCAACGACGTCGATGACGGCAGAGAAAAATAAAAATGTCGCTAAAAAATGAATTTGCGTTCTTTCAAATTTAATCGCGTCTATTTGGACCCGCTCAATATGTCAAATGGAATGGAGTTGAATTCTTAAGGATTTTATTCAGGATCAAAAAGATAAAGAAAAATTCGTCGTCGTGTGTCCACGTCGTCCATAAAACGTCAAATTAGGAGGTTTCGCGTCGTAGTCGTGCAGTGGACGTCAAAGAAATGTACTAAAAAGCGTGATGCACGTGCAGAGCAGGTGTTTTGTTCATTATGAAGTTGCTGTCGTCGTCGTAGTTGCTTAAGCTCCATTATCTCGCCACAGTTGCCCATTCTCGTCCCCAGAGCCACTCGGCTTTATTTGTAACCGACCAGTAGCCCACACCGCGCGGTCAAACGTCTGAGCATGCGCGAAGAATTGCGTGGGATCGCTACGTTCTATTTGGAAAAGCTACACACATGTGGCTACGTCTTCTGGCGGGCAAGAACAGGGGAATTTTCTTTGTATTTCAAGAAAGTTCACTGGCGATGAATAGGAAGAATAAGATGAACGTATAATATGAAATTACTGTATAACCTCCAATTTACTGTATAACTTCCACCCACTTGTAACCGCTCTGTGGTAGTAGCCAACTCAAAAGCTTGGCTTGGCTGCTACACACTCTTTTCCTTAGTTATGTTTAATTCAATGTATAGTTAGCTCTGTTTCTTCCTTCTTCCTTTTTTTTCCTTATTGTTGTATTGTAATTGAATAAGTGTGAATAAATGAACTTGAACTTGAACTTGAACGTGAAATGTAAGTATGAGTAAACTTCCCTTTCAATCATAATATTCCCCAACTGCTCGTATGCTCTTTTCGATCAATTAAGGCGCGCTTTTGTGGCCGCTGAAAGTTTAAGCTCAAGTTTAAATAGTTTTAAATTGTTTGATTAACTGAAAAGACAAATAAAGGTTCCAGTCAATTTTATTTGCAATTGTGTCTTCTTTCTTAGACTCAGTATTTTAGACTGTCTTTTAGAAAATCTTTTTAGCCAATTGGGCTAACTGACCAGCCATCATTTTGAGCTGGGCAGCTCTCCTCTCAAGGCTTTGTTACCTGTTTATTATTTTTTTCCTGCTTTTTCTTTAAGTCTTCTTTCTTGATCTTTGATCATCTCTTTGGCTTAAAGAAGGTGCATTATGGTCTAGGTGAAAAAGTTGAATTCTGCTTTTTCTCTTCTGTTTTATGATCAATTGCAAATAGTAAAAAACCCTTAAAAAAAAAAAATCTTTTTTTGACAACTGAAAACAGGGATGACTACAACCAGTTTTTCGAAGATCACCTGTAGTTAATTGCTTCTGACGAGCTCATCATTAAAATGCAAAGAATCACTGCATTTATAGCAAAATGTTGAAAGCCTTGGCTCACCTGATCAGGTGCTCAAAAGGCAATCAAGAAATTAGGTCATGGGAAGGGGAGGGGAGGAAAAGGCTAAAAAAAAACATTAACCGAGAAAAAAATATTTGTATACAGTTGTTCATGTGTTTATAGGATATTACATAAAATGAGAGGACAGTTAATTCAAACTGCTGAGAACAATTTTTTAGTTAAGTGTGGTTTACAATAGGGTTGTCATTGTCATTGTGTTATGGGCAACATTCACATGAAATTGAGCCCAGGACAGAATAGCCTGCGTAGCAAGCTTTTCCGTTTGGTTTCGGGAGCACTGAGAAAGACCGAGGAACGGGATTTTTGGTTTTGGCCGCGCGAGAAATGAAACGAGAACCTAAACCGCACGGAATCGAAACGCGCAGGCTAACGACAGAAACACATAGACGAGCTGTTTTCGTCTTAGTTAAGACATGCTCGTATAAATGGTACAGTTTGCGCCTTATTTAGGACCCCAGGGGGTTCTCCCTTCAAGATATGCCATGGGTATGTGCTGACCCATCGGGTAGGGTTTTAGCCTGCACAAACATCCGTTTCTCCTCGCCCCCAACGGCGAAGAGTGAGGAGAAACGGATGTTTACACAGACTAGTAGGTTTTTGCCCCGTTTTGGTCTGAAAACGGGTATGGGTTTCGAGGGAACTGCGGAGTGTTTGCGTATTTATAGTTTCAATTCCAAATGAGAAAGAAAGAAAGAGAAATATGCGAATTCCAAATGGATTTGAATTTTTTTTGTTTGCTCTCTGATCTAAGTAATGATAACATAATTTCTGCCAAAAAAGGCCAGGTCTTAAAACGGGTATGGATTTCAGAGTTCTAGTCTGAAAATAGGACGCCATAATAATAGTCCTATTATGGATCTTGGTATGCAAATAACATTTTTTTTTCTTTTTCTTTTCTTCTTTTCTTTCTTTGGTCAGAAATCGGGTCAGGATTTGAAGAACCAGGCGCCACACCCCCACCAAGAATTCCCTGGAGTACCTCCCTCCCCTGGTTTAGGTCGCGTCTTTGGTTGTTGTAGCTCCATCCGGGATGTTGATATCATGTACCCATAACTCCATGCGGTCTTGCATGAAAAGGAGGCCTTTCTCCTTCTTCACGCGGTCGAGGCCGTACTTTGTTGTAAAGCGAGGCTCTCCTCGAAAGTTTGGCGCTTTTATTTTTAGCTTTTCCTGTCTCGCTTTCAAGCGTAAACACCAAGCACTACTTTATTGATCATTCATGGTCAATTTTGACCCGCTAGGATCACACGGGTCTTCCAGTTGCAACACAATGGCGACAGATTCCGCGGAAACATTGCCTAGCGAGTCCATTCAACAACAAATCCTGGTTTCTGAGCAAGTTACAGCGCCTGAAGGTTTTCAAAACGCGATCTCTTCGAACATTCCCACAACAATTCAAACTATTCCTCAGCAAAATGGGGAAATTGCTACCATTTCGACCTCGACTTTAGCCGAGACAATGGCAACTTCAGAAGCGATCATGGCGACTGAGAGTATTTCGGTTGGGACTCAAGAAGCTTCGTCGTCATTGAGTGCGCAAGAGATCGTGGACAGCATCCCTCAAGTCCAGGAACACGATTCCGTCCCAGGATCACAGCAGAGTTTAGTTATTTCAGCTGAAAATGTCGCCATTGGAACAAGCGCTTCACTTGACGCTTCTCCGCATCCGCAGATAGCCTCAAATTATCCCTGGGCTGCCCGGCTTCACGATTGCGAGCTCATAGGGGATTCCTATAGGGGATATGTGATGAACGAGGTGGAACTGGACTTGATCTTGACCTTACATAAACAGCACACCAGCAGTTGCTGGGGTACGAGACAGTCTCCATCATCAGCTAAACCATCCATTCGGCTGATGTGGAAATCTCAGTATGTACCATATGATGGGATACCTTTCTTGAATACAGGTGCACAGTTTTTTATTTATGTTGGGTCAAAAAAACAAACTTTGAATTATGAGGCCCTCCTAGGGGGGTGGAGGTTTGAATGACCCCCCCACACCCACCCGTGTGTTTGTGCTTAATGTCTTCATTGCTGTCGCAGTTTCAACAAACGAAAGCCATGCTCTTGCAGAGCCTGGTGGTCCCTGATGCTTAACTTTTGCTCTTGGTAACTAGAAAGTCTGATTTTTTTTAGCCTGCGAAAACATCCGTTTCTCCTCGCTCTTCGTCGCTGAGGACGTTTCGCGCGAAGGAACGTCTGCGACTCAGTGACAGAAATTCCATACTGATGACGCAAATCAATGTTTACATAATAAATCTGGTAGTTATGGGGTTCCAAATATAAATTTGTCTAATTTTGCGTCTCTTCTGGTCGATTTTGGTAAAGTGTTGTGTTGATCTGTCCACGAGCTCCAGCAAAACTCAAATGCTTCTTCTAGAGAAGACTATATTGCACAAATATTGACTGTTTTGTTAGAGATTCTTCGTGTTTACATTTGACCTTTTTGGCCTTTTGTCTTTTGTCTGTCATTTGTAAACAATAGCTAAAACAATGTAACTGCTCCGTCGACCAATCAGCGCTTCTGACCGGATTCTGGACAGATTTTACGTCATCAGTATGGAATTTCTGTCGCTGAGTCGCAGACGTTCCTCCGCGCGAAACGTCCTCAGCGACGAAGAGCGAGGAGAAACGGATGTTTTCGCAGGCTAGAGTTTTTTCATAGAGATCCTATGCTGAGCACCCCTGATATTTCACAGGTTCAGAATACTGGGCTTTTTTCAGTTTTTTTAAGAGCACAGTCTTGTCAATCCTTGTCTCATTTGTCAGTGTTTCTTCTATTTTGTGTCACTTGTAATGTTTCAAGGCAATGTGGCTTCTCATAATTTAACCCTAACTGGGCCTTTGTAGACTGTTATGAATGGAACATCCCATTTTGTCAAATCAGTTACCCTAAATTTCTCCCCTCTCCTCCCTACTACGCCTGTGTGCCTGCCACATATGCATATGGGAGGAAGATTTTGATCTAACTGCAGAGTTATATTACTTTATACGCTTGCCTTAACTAGCCAGCAGCACACAAAAACAAATTATGTTAACTGGGCCAAATGGACCATGCGATTGGGAAGAGCTGCCCAAAAATTGGACAAAATTGTCATCCAATCCATTTTGCAAGAGCTGCAGGATAAGAAAATTAATTAGAATATGTAACATACAGAGATTTCATCCTCTTCAAAATCCCTCACGCTGCACACATCCTTGCACTGTCTGTGAAAAGAAAGGTAGACCAGAGTTCTTCCATTGTCTATTTGCATGTCTTTGTGGCACAAAGTGGCTAATGGCTATTGTTCCTCTTCTTATTATTATTAATTGTCTTTAAAGGGGCTGTGTCACTAGGATATTGCTGTGTTAGGTCAAATCTGGTCTGAAGTCATTACTTAGAGCCTTTATCTAAACACAAAATGCTTCTGTAGAGTTATGTAGAAGATATCAAACTGAGATTTCATCAGGGAGTGCTAAAGTTGGTCCAACTTTTTCAAGTTTCAATCACAGGGTATCCATCCTTGCCATTCGTAGCAACAAATGTCAGGAAACAGTTCCAATGCTAACTATATTCTTCAATTACAAAACTGGAACATTATTTTAGAATTCAATTGACGAGAAGGATTTAATTAGCTTTTCTAAAAAATAGTGAATAGGACGACATAGCTCCTTTAAAATGTACTATAAAGTGCAGTCTAACCTCTCCTTACGGACACCTCTTTAATATGGACACCTCTCTATTATGGACGGTTCATTTGGTCCCAGAAAAGCCAAAAATTATACATTCCCTACCTCTATAATACAGACACCTCTGTAAAGTGGACTCTTGGTTCTGTCTCTTTGGTGACGGTATTAAAGAGGTTTGACTGTATGTATAATACCGTAAAATTCCGAAAATAAGCCCCGGGGCTTATATTTTTCGAAGGCCCTTTTTGAGGGTTTATTTTTGGAGGGGCTTATATTCGAAGGGGCTTATATTCGGAGGGGCTTATATTCGGAGGGGCTTATCTACGGAGGGAAATTTGTGTTTCAAAATCGATTGGGCTAGCCTTATAGTTGGAAGTAAATTTACCGTTTTTGCTTTGTTTTACTTTGTTTTTGAGGGCAATTTTCCAAGTACAAGCCCCCGGGGGCTTATATTCAGAGAGGCGATTTAATGGAGGGTTTTTGGCGTTACCGGTTTGGGGGGCTTATATTTGGAGGGGCTTATACATGGAGGGGCTTATTTTCGGAATTTTACGGTATATTAATGTAGGGCATCCCCTATTGTTTTGTTTTGTTTGAAAATCATCCCCTTTTGCTACGTATATCCTTGGCAGAAAATATCACATTGTTTGATAAACATTATGTTGACACAAACAAAATTTGCCATAGGTCGACGAGCAACAGTTATGGAATGTCAGTATGGACCAAGAAGAAAAGGAGCTGTGAACAAGAAGCAGCCTGACTATAATGAACATGGCTCCCCAGTAAAGAAGCATCGCCCTACTTGTCCTGCTAGAATTTATATCAAGAAAGTACGCAAATTTCCAGAGTTCAGAATAGATCCTACTTTGGATGCCAAGCATGTGCGACAGGCCCAGGAGAGAGCACTAACAGCACTGAGGCTGGCAGGAGTAGACATTGGCGGCGAGGAAAGGTACAGTACCATCAACATACTAATCATGAGTTTGAGGTTACTCTGCAAACATTGTTAAGTGTGATCGTGCAAACTAAGTGCACAAAGAATGTCAGGAAATTATATGAAATTTCTAGGTAGTCAAATTGATGATTATCAGTGCTCCAAACTCTTTTCAAAGTCGACTTTTGGCGGCTAGGCTGCATCGTCACCAAAATGCCCCTCGGGCATGTTTATGCAGACAAGTAAATTTCACCACCAAGCGAGGAAGTGGTGAAATTTGTCATGTGACATAAACATGCATATGGGGTATTCCCTAGCCCAATCACAAAATGCACTAGCCCCTATTCCGTTACTCCAGAAATTCAGTATGCCTTAAGTATTCACCTCTAAACTGAAGGCCTCTTTCTTGCTATAAAGGTATGTTACACATTTGGTCTTTTGGTGCCTGTAGACTGCTTGTAGTCTACTCATGATTACTATAGTATATACTTCATGGCATCAACTTTATCTTAGGTTTGTACATTTGCAGGAACTATGTTTAACTACCACTGCTGCTAGCTCACGACTACTACTGACAGTATATATTATCATAATGGTGTCAAGTTTATCTTAATTTTATGAATTTTCAGGTACTATGTTCAACTACCACTTCCGCTAGCTCACGAGTACCATGATATTGATGATATACCCATGGATCCTGAAGAGAGTGCCGAGTCCCAGGGTCAGCGCCTTAATCCTGAAGTCATGAATAAGATTCGTGAACTAGTCGCAAGAGGTGTCAGTGGGATATACACTGTTAAACACTGCTTGAAGGTGTTTGTGGAGAAGGAATTGTTTGCAAATGTGGAAGCACCAGCCAGACATAACAGGTCATATTTCCCTACCATCATTGATATTCAGAATCATATTCATCAAGCTCAGATGGCGCTAGCCACTGGAAGTCTCATGCCTCTTCCTCCGGTGAGTTGTATGATGTTATTTTCTTTATATGGGGTTTTATAATATTATTATGCAACTTCATGTGTGCTGATTAGCCGAGAGCTACTTTTGTATAAAAGACCATGGAAATAATGTGATGGTGGTGCAATTTGTTTTTGTCTTGGTCCCACACATGAATTTCCAAGAAACTTCAATTGAAATCAAAGTTAGAAACTGTCAGTGTTATTGCAAAAAACAAATCAACAACACTTTTCCATAGTCTGTGCTCTTATCGACCATAGAAATGTCAAAATATTCAAAACTTTGCAGTGAAACCACTTGCCTGCAGCTCAGGTTCTACTTGAGTTTTGAACATTTTGACGTCATTTCTATGGTCGATAAGAGTACGGACCATGGAATATTGTTGTTGACTTGTTAAATAATTACCCTATGGCTTACTATTTAAAGGGTATTTGACAGAATTCTTTTATTTGCATGATAGAATCTACACAGTGTCCTGATAAGGTATCTATTTTTCCTTCACTCTGTTTTTATGTACCAAAAACTTGAAATGTCAGTTGATTGATCTAGTGGGTCACAAAACTGAACAAAATAATGAAACCAGGAGACTAGGAATGATTGTGACAACACTTCGGGATTTTCTGTTTCTTGGCAAGCAAATTTCTCAGTTGTTTCTTTCTTGTTGTGTTCAAAGCAGAATATCGTGAACTGATGTCACAATCATTCCCAGTCTCCTGTTTTCAGTTGTGTGGTTTTGTACCCCACCGAAAGTGGTATGTCACTTCTTTGGCATGTCAAAACACCAAACAGAAAAATGGATGTTGAAAAATTGTTTTTGGTATATCCTTATCCAGACATTGTGTAGATTCTAAAAGCAAGATAAAAAATTCTGTTTTTAAACTTAAATTTGTTTCTTTAAGCTCACAAATTTCCCTCAAAGTTATCTGCAACTCAAAGAGAAAACCCGTAAGAGAAAGCACACTCCAGAAAAACTCTCACAATCATCACAGACCTCAACTGAAACCATCACAAGTATACAGCGGCAATATTCCTCTGCAAGGATGACGTCACAAGATCAGGAGCAGCTACTCCATCAGGTATATAATACATAGTGTCAAACCTCTTATAAGCGACCACCCAAAATGTGAAGACTTAGTGGTTGCTTATGGAAGGTGGTTGTTCACAAGAAGCGAACCAAAGGGAGTCTCTTCTTAGAAGTGGTTCGGACACATCTACTTTATCAAAGATAATTTATTGCATGGAATTTCTAAGTTGTATTATGTGTAGTGCCATGTTGATGCTAAAAGTTTTTCTTATACTCTAAGTAACATACAATGGAGGACAAAAATCCTTTGAACGGGTATGGAAAACCTTCCTTCCACATCCTTAACTTATCAAATGTTCAGATGTTGCACAATATACACTTCTCTAACCACTTGGATGCCATGACTGGCCCTCCCCTCCCCCCTCCAAACAATATTGGGATGAAGAAACACTTTTAGGACAGGGTAAAGTGTACAGGGGTGCACAAACTACAACATTGCTTGGGGCAAGGGGGAAAGGGGGAAAAATTAAGGCAGATCGTGTTAATTGTCCTAAGAATTTTGTCCTCCATTGTAGTTCATACAGCAAACATAGAGATCAGACCATGTACATAGTGGTTGCCAACAAAAGGTTAAAAACAATGGAAAATTAGTCAGCCCTAAAATGTGGTCACTGTCACTTACAGAAGGGGGTTGTTTGTGAGAGTTTCCAACTGTACAGTAAGTGTTTGTTTGGCAGGGGAATTTTTGGTGTTTTGTATAGGTGGTTCAATTCTCATGGGAGGTGGTTGCTATTAGAGGTGGTTGCACATGGAGGTTTGGTTTTACTGTACCGTGTATCTCCTGGAAAAGTGTCCGTGCTTGAATATTTGGTTGCCATTGAATAAGTGTCCACCTCAAGGCCAAACAAGCAAAATAAAAAATGCCTGCCTGGAATAAGTTCCTATCTCCCTCTCACCTTCTTACACAGCAAGGATGTTGTCATTGAGAAAGCCTTTTTTTGCACTTTTATCAAATAAAATCATCAATCTAGAGTTTCAGGGAGTGTTTAATAAACATCTCAATAAGCAGCCTCCTCAAGCACCAATTCCTTTAATTTTCACTAAAATGCCTGTCAAATTTTGTCCATGGTGCCTTTGAAGATTGTCCCATCTCGGACAAAATTTATAAAATTGTAACAAACTATTCGTATTGGTCAAATGTTGGTGATCACAGAAAATTTGTCAAAATAAACAGCTTTTTCACCAGTTGGGATGGGCCCATGGTTACTAAAATGGTAAAATAATGATTATTTTACCATTTTTACCATTTTTTGTGATGTTTAACAGACAAGCAGAGAGAATTACCATGGCAGTGAACAGGCACACCAGCTTGGAATCATTCAGGGTACTGATGGACAAGCTACTGAAGTCGATCTTTCTAATCAGCATCAGATTCTCATCACACAGGGCTCTGGATCAGGACGAGATGAAGGTCAGAGAGAAACTTTTTACTTTTGATGGCCCATGTCATGTAATTTGCTACATGAGTGGGCCATTTCCAAACAAATTTACAAATGTGCACTACAGCAGTATGTAGGATGTATCTAGGATTTTTATTGACAGATCTGTCCCTGTCTGCAGTTTGAGTGAAAGCAAGTGTTAAGTAATTTTTTTGTACATGAATGCATCAGTACGGTTATTATGAACTGTTAGGCTAACAAGTTTACAAAACCCCCAATATTGCAAATCTGTTTCAATCTTCTTCAGGTTTGTCCATCCATTACTCCTTAAATTTACTGGTTATTCATACCCAATACCATCTTTCAATGTTTTAAGCAGTTATTAACATATCACTCAATTTGATCGTAGTTTCCACTGTTTGAATAGAGTGCAAGCAGTCAAGCATGTTTGCTCAAAAATCTGTGAGGGATTGGAATATGTGAGTATTTGAGTGTCAGAGCCATGAGCAGCAGGTTTTGTGGATGCCATTGTGAGAAACTCTGTTTTTGCTTGGACTGGCAATACAAAACACACTGCTCTCGGCTTCTCTACTCAAAAAATCACATATCACAATTGCTCACAGTTTTTAGAGCAAAAGAGAGACTGCTCGCAGTCTGCTCGCCCATTTTATATCAAAAACTCCATCGCACATTCTTGATGTCTCGTATTGTAATTGTGTTCCAGGTCAAGTGGTTATTGTAGTGAATGCAAGCAGTTTCTTCTCTGGTCAGTCTGATTCAGACACACCAGCAACACTGTCCTTAACCATACCAGCTTCACAAGTGGCCAGCCTAAGCCATGCATCTTTACATTCAGCCGCTGGTGCCCAGGCAGTAACTTTAATCCCATCGCAAACTGATGCACCACCCCAGACTTCAGGAACAGCTACAACGTCTCCTCAAACTGTCACGTTTATACCACAGGTGGCTGAGAACAGTCGCAGTGCGGTGGCCTTTTTAACAACACAGCAAAGTGATAATACTAGTCAGGTTCCTGTCTCGGCAGCTTATCTCGCTACCCATGGACAGACAAGCAACATTTTAAGTATGTTGGATTCTGCGCTGCAGGCATCTTCACCAGGGTCTGCTGGTCCTATAATAAGAGTTGGTAGCAGTGCCGGAGCAGTTCCAGCAACTGACAGCAGCCAATCAACAGATGCAAGTAAGACACAGATTTATAGATGTTGTGATTCAGTTTTATCCATGGTTTGAATTTTATGTTCCTTTGTCTAAATAGATGATATTACATAGCCGCGCAGACATACAAAATTTCTCTCTGAGTGTTGAAATTAATAGTTCACAAGTGCTCGCAGTGAACGAGTGAAATATCTTTGAACACTCAAAGAGAAATTCTGTATCTCCAAGTGGCAAAATAATGTTCTATTTTATTACATGCATATAGACACCAATGAAATACTAAACCATGTCACTTAAATATTTTTTTGCTATGATAGGCGCAACTTTTCATGTAGTCAGGAGTGGTCACTGTAGATCTTTTCACATGTGAATTAAGTTGTGGGAAAGCTCGCCTGGTATTTCATTGGTAGTTATATAATATATCTTATTATTTTGTATACCACCATGCCCCTACAAATGCCAAAAATACAACATATACACCACAGTTAAAATATTGAACAACAGCAAAGACAGAACATACCTCCTGTTTTTTCGTAGCAGTAAGAAAAAAAATTAATGGTTACAAGACTCAGTAAGAATTGGTCACTTCTCTTCAACCAGATTTTATTTGACTGTTTTCTTCCCATGCACTTCTAATACCTTTGTGCTATATTGAGAGGCTTTTTTGACGTTCTAGTTGTCGTCCGCGTCGTTGGATCTTAAACTCCCTAAATTGTACAAACGACCGGTTTCAATAGACCGGCGAAATTTCTCATTTTATTAAAGCACTGAGGTTAGGACAACTTCGAGTTAAACTGATTTCACGGCTTGTCAAAGAGTCCAGCGATTCCTTTTTCCCAGGTGAGCGCCGACTCATTTCGCTTCAATATTCAGGAATGCTCTCGATCTTTTACGCTTTCATTGCCTCTCGCCCGACATGTTTTGCACGGCGTTTGGTCATGCGAAACCTCCACGAAACATCCACGCCTCGCGCGAGGTAACTTTATCCCGATTCTAAAAATAACTCGAGACGAATTACCTATGGAATAGGGTGTATATGGGGGATGCCCTCTCTGTCCCCTTTATAGTCTCTTGGTTACATGTAATGGTTAATGTATAGTTTAACAGCGAGGAACCACCATCTGAGGGTTATTCAATCTAGAATTCAATAGAGGAGGCTTTTTGATAACGACATCTTACAGCAAACCTACCCGAATAAGTGTACATCTCACGGTTTTTTATAAAACTTAACTTGATAACCCAGTTGTCAATCCAAGTACGGCTAATCTTGATCTGTTCTGGTCTCTGCGTTTAATTCCCATCACTGTGTGCATTGTGCTGCCTGTGATGTCTTTGAATTCAAGGATCTAACAGTTTGAAATGCCACTGACAATACGGCTTTGAAATTTGTCTTCATTGTCGAGAGTTTAAAATAATTTAAATGGCCATGAAACAATACCAGGCTGGTTGAAAAGCGGAAGGGACCATTCCAGCTTGAGGGTTGCTAAACCTTGCTCCAGAGTCTCTGACTTATTATGAACTTCTTATACACACTCTCGCAAGATATTTTTTGGTAGGTTATGGTGCCGTAATTAGCCAGTGTGACCAATCGCAACGCGCGCTGATAAGAAATTGAACCAATCAAAACTCAAAGAAATGCCGCGTAGCTACCGCCACCACCTTCCCTAAGCGCGGGAAGATGTACACTGCTTTTGATTTCTCTTATTTGTTACTGGTTAAGAAAGATGTGCAAGATAGTTTAACCAATCACAGAGCATGGCATGCTAAACCAGAGTTATCAAGAAGTTACTTTCAAAACCCAGTGAAAAAACCACTGTAAGATCCTTTGAAATGTGGTAAAACTAAAGGCTTCGTGTTTTTTCGTTTTTAGTTTCTGGTCACGTGGTGGCGACCCAGGCAGCTGTTGACGCGGTGCTTAGCGCTGCTAAAGAAGAATCAAAGCAAACCCGATCCGGAGAAGAAAGTGTGGAGGGTGAACCCCAGGAAAAGCGCCAAGCACTGGAAGTAGATTTGTCCTCACTAGTCAAGGAAGCAGTGTTTGATGGTCAACAGGTATAGTGCCGTATCCAACTGCTTAGTTTGAAGTCTTGTACACGTGCTGACTTGAAGTAGAATATGTTAGCCTTTATTGTGGGCAGTGATATAGAGTAAAGTAAAGTCACACCATTGCCAGGTCGTAGGCTGCACTGTACAGGGTTTTAGATTCCAGTGTTTCGTCTAGCGAAGTCTTCGCTGAAGGTCTTGTCTTGTCCTTCGCGTCGCCAAGTAGGTTCGCGGTTACCAGTCGTTTTGATACAAGTTAATTCCTTCGAGGTGTAAATAGTTTCACGTACCTGGCTTAAAGAACGAAGAATATTCACCCAAAATGTTTTTCTTGTTCAATTGCCAACTTTACTTGAAGTAATCGAAATTTTTTTATGCAATTTTACTGCTTGAGTGCGTTTCGAAACGATCGGTTTCCGTCAAATGGTTACCGGTCGTAGTAGGCTCTCAGGTCAGTCACAAAAGAGGTCAGTTTGCATCCGTCGTCAAAGTGCATATCGAATGTGCATGTCGTTACTGACGTATTGGGTTTACGATGGGCTAACAATAGTAAGACAACTAAATCGACTAACTAGCCAGCAACCAGAATAATAAGCTTTCAACGGACACAAGAAACACTTCTCACTTGGGATTGCAATCCGTGATACTCATGACTAGCCCTCCCCCTCCCCCGTCCCGGGCGCATTTGGCATGCTGTCTTCTCGTAAGCTTGACCATGATTAGGCTTTTGATGTTTCGCAGGTTGAGGGAGTTATCAGTGAAGCGCAAGAAAAAAGCTCTGTAGAAGGTGAACAGCCGGGAATGGTTTCCATCCCTGTACCTTCATCCCAACAGCAGTCGGACAACACGCAGTTCACCAGTCTATCTCAAGCTAACGAGGAAGGAAATTTCATCTCCATGGCCACAACACGACCTGTCGTCATGGTACCAGAATCGGTTCTTCAGTCGGTGCAGGAAGGCGGACAGACAGTGATCCTTGAAGATGGTGAGAATAAACTACATGTAGGTGTTCGAGACAGTGAACATTGCACAGGAACTCAGCAAATGTCAGTCGAACTTCAACACACTGAATCAGCTTACGAGAATAATGATGCTTCACCACAAATCCCTGTCGTCATGGAAACAGTCCAAAGAGTTTCTGTTGCCATGGAAACGAATGACGTCGTCCCAGCACCCGTAACGACATCTCAAGATTTAGGCGTTTCTATAGAAACACATTCAGAGCATCCTAAACAGCAAGCGACCACACATGAGAACAGTCTGAAAGTTACCGAGGAAGAACAACGTCTGCAGGATTACAATATACCGGCCTCATGTGCTGCGCAATCTAGTGGCACTGATCCCATCAGTGTTTCGCTTTTGTTTGCAACTAGCCAGCAGCAGTTACCTGTGGACGAACCAGCTGTTACTACTCATACAGACACTGTTTCAGCAGTAAATAACACTCCCGCAGTTTTCTCGCAGTAACTCATCCAGGCGAGCTTTCTACAGTAGACCTCTTAAGCTTTTATGTTTTGTTTTCCCAATACAGGTCATGTGATAATACTCTAGGGAACTGTTATTTTCGCGCATAGCTACGCATAGTTATGAAAAGACAAAGGGTCAAGTTCCCTTGGGACCTCTATTGGGAAAATAAAACATACAAGCTAAAGAGGTTTATTCTCTAAGGGCCTGTTTACATGGAGTTGGGGGACCCCAGGTAGGCGAGGTAATCTGCGGTGGGTCACCCCACCTATCATGTAAACGTGATCAAATTAAAATGAGAGATTATATGGACAGGCGGGTTACCTCACTTACCTGGGGTCCCCCACCTCTATGTAAACAGTCCCTAAAACTTATTAGTGCACAGTTACAGTAGTATAACCTCCGACGCGGACGTTTTTTTGGCTGGTCACGCAGTCTTCCGCCTAAGGAACGCGTCACGAAACCCTAAGAACGGCTACGTGGGAGGCTTACAGTGGTATGGATTCTAGAACAAACTCCTGTAGCCAGTTTAACGAAGTGGTTTATGCAGAAACTTGTTTGAACAAACCATTCATGTTGGGATGAGAGCTAAAACCTCACCACTCCTCCCAACTTCTGGCCTATGCATCTTACATGACCATATTTTGAGCGATCAAGGAAGGTTTGGGCGAGGAGGGTAAATACCCCACCCCTCCCCACCCCTCTTCCCTCTTTGTGCTCTCGTCCCAACCTTCCCGCTTTTTTCGCACAGGAAACGCTTACTACACAGGCGAGGTTACGTCCGTGTTTTGACAGTTGGCTTCATCCTCCATACGCATTTTGTGCATCAGTTTGGCATGGACCTTATTGTTTGGCGTGGTCGTTTGACAGCAAAGAAGAGCTACTTGTAGACAGAATCGTCTGGCTGTGCTCTCTAATCACAGCAGTTGCACAGCATTTTACTTCTTAGAAGAACATAGTCATTAAAATGAAAAACAAAAAAGTCTTTGAAGTTTGAACCTGTTTTTAGCATATTTTATTGATTCAAGAGATTTCTCCGTTTCTTTTGGTTTAAATCAAAACTTTGCAGTGAGAAATTGTTGTCTTTTTGACTACCGCACCGGTTGTGGAAACGTCAGTCACTGTCAACAACGTACAGTCTTATTCAGGACTATCTTCACCCGGACGATCATGCTAAACCTACTTGTGAAATGACCCTGGTTTAAATCTTTCACAGTTATTGTCTTTTCGTTAATTATTCCCCAGTTTAAAAACAAGGAACCAAATTTCCGATTGTCCAGCACTAATAGGCAATAAGTATACAGCTATTTCGAGAAAGGTCGTCAGAAAAAGTGCAGGCGACAATCCCGAAAGGTATTGTGGGTGGTTTTAAGTTTACTGTTCTTCAAAGAAATCTGAAAGAATGGCACGAGAGGCCATGGATATATGTTTGCAAGTGCTAAAGGAAAGTCAGAACAATAGGTTCGACAGCTACAGTGTCAGGAACAGTGAATTGATCGTATCCCATATTACTTTTCGGAATTGTCGCGTGCACAATTTTTCGAACAACCTTCCTCGAAATAGCTGTATTTCAGTATTTCAAGTTGTAGTTGTACCTACAACACGAAATACGAAATATAATCCGAAATTGCCATAACGGCTCCTAAATGGCCTGAGAAGGAAACAGACAGTAAAAGGTATAACAAACAAGTAAGTCAGAATTTAAGACGTGCATTTTATTTATTCCAATATATCCTCTAACAAAATTCAAATTCAAACGAATTACACGCATAAACTGTTACACTTAAATGTGCACGTTATTACTCAAGTCTCGTGTTTTGTTGCGGGAATGCCACCACTTTCTATTTCAAAGCAAGTGAAGACATTGGTCTCTACTATCTCAGTGCTATCTCCCGGAATTTAGTGTATTTTATTCTCCACTTAATCTTCTTTGTTGCCTTTTTGCATACTTTCTCCGAGGACGAAGGTTTTCGAAGCCTCTCAAGATTCATACAGTAACTAACACTGCAGAAATGTTAGGTATTGTTGTCCACGAAAATTTGAAACTTGGAGACAACATTTATAATGAGTGTATCTTAGCAGTGAGCACGTCATTTCCGAGGAAAAAAAGCGAATTGTAGCCCTTATTTTACTGCCGTACAAAATATCGATAATTTTGTAACTCAAAGGTCATAAAAACGACAGTTAATCTCAAGAATGTCAATTTTTTTAAAACAAATCTATCGAGCCGTTTTCAGAGGGCCTCAATACATACTAATCAAATCCCTCGCGGTCTTTGTTACTGGCGACGTAGTTTATGCTCAAACTTGCGGGGTATTGACCCTGAAAAACCTCATCGAGCCACCAAAAACGCAGGTTTTCGAACACGGTCCCCGGAATAGAATTTTTTCCCGTAAGGGACGCTACTGTAATTCCATTGTTTTAGCGTTTTCTTGTGGACGGGTGAAAACTTAAATACGCTACTTTGTATTTTAGAAAAAGGAAAAAAATCTCCGTTTTTAAAATTAGTTGGATGCTTGTGGACGAGGCCTTATATGTACATAGTAACAAATGCTTACTCGAGAACCTGACGTTCTGGAAATCATGACTAGCAACCAGAAGTTTGGTGTTTCGTTTCATGGTAAAGCTTCCGGTCTGATCCAACAAGTTTGAAAGTTTTTCCTCTGTTCCCTGTGGACTCTGTTATCGAGTCAGGAGCAAAACGTCCGGGACGTCGACAAGAGCGACCAAAATCTATTTTCTCCTAACCATATCAATAAATAATCAAAAGAAAATGTTGTGAGATTCGATAAAAGGATCAGTTAAGCGAACATACTCTGATCTTAAAGAAATTTTCTAAACTAGTTCTTAAGTTGAAGTATATGGAGATCAGTTTGGAGAATTTGCATGTGGATTTTGCTCATCAGCTCCAAAGAAACTCAAATACGTTCGGCGCAATTGAGGAAACATGTTAACATTTTGGGGTTGCACAGCCCATCGAGCTTATCAAGTAATCGGCCTTATTTTCATTTCACATTTCTTCAGAGCGTAGTTGAATCCTTTCCAAGGAGCCCAAACAAGATTTGAAAACTGGCCAGTACAAAAAGCCTGGAAGCAATTTTTGAACCACCAGCCGCCCCATGCTTGTACAGCGCAGTTGTTGTCAACATTCATATCATTGTCTGAATCTTTTGAGGTGAATGCCATTCCATTGGAGGACGACAATCCATCACCGGCCGTTCCAGAATACCCATCAACAGTCAATCTGAAAAAGTCTTCCTCTGGCGCCACTCGGAAAGTAGAATATTTTGCGAAGGCAGTGTTTCCGTCCCAGTCCTCCAAGTCGACTCTGAGTTCTTGACGAGAGAACCTGCCATGATCAGTAAACCGTCTAAGGTTACCTAAGCCATGCCAGTAACTCCGAAGTAAATCGCCAAAGGTAAATATGTATTTATTCCAGGTCCGATCAAAGTTCAGAGAGTCATTATTCACACGTCTTAGTATCACCATCCAGCCACCTCCGTCGGTAATCATATCACAGTAAACACGCGGATCATCAATCCCTTTCCTTGAGGGAACGTTATATACTCCGCTACTTGTGTAGCCACGTTTTAACCACTCAAGACATGACTTTCCAGAAAAAAGTTCTGAAAAAAGAAAAAAATACACCGCTAGGTATAAAAGTGCTTCTGCCTGCATAAAGCCGGACCATTGATGTAGATCAACAGACGAATTCCCCTGGAAACTCCGGGAAATATTCTTATCAACAGCGGTGAAAAGAAATAGACAAACGTTTATCCCAAAGAAATAAAGAAATGCCTTTTAAAGTTAAAGGCAGAGAGGAAATATACCATATACCATTTCTGGCAGAAAAGGCACCCCTTTCGAATTCTTTCTATTTGACCATGACAAATAGTATACCTTTCACACACCCAGTTCAAAGCACTGCATCCCTTTTAACTGCTGTAAAAGTATCGTCTTTCTAATATGATTAAATCAGTGAACCTGGAAGTTTTCTTGTCTTTTTCACAGCCATAATTAAAATGTGTCTTATGACCCTTCTAGTTCTAGCTTGTTCCAGGCTTTCGGATTGTTTGGTGGGTGCAAAGATCGGAGAGATGTGAAATGGATACCTGAACCCTTAAGGTGCCCCCTTTAACCCTTTAAGTCCCAATAGTGACCAACATCAATTTTCTTCTAACTATATTCATACAATGTCAAGAGATCAGGTTATGAGAATTAATAAAATGATCACCTAAGAGAAAATGCTTTGATCTTTTATCAAATTCTCTCTACTCATTCTTTAAGGAAATGTATAGAGATCAGTTTGGAGAATTTTTACATGTGCATTGCAGGTTAAAGGGTTAAGGCGGAGTCTCGCCGAATAGGCTATTATAGGAAGTGCCCCGCCGGGGGACGCTAAGCATTTTTTCCAGCCCTACAACCTTTCTGCCGGGTATCAAACAGCTGGATATGTTCTAACTACTGAGTTCAGTGAGAGACTGATATCGCACAAGGTAGTGTGTAACAAGGTTCGTCTGTAGTCGTACTGCTATAGTAATGCATTCTTTTATTGTCCTTAATAACTGTGACATTTTGACAAGCTAAGCAGCCACCTTCGCCTGGGTGGAACTATTAGGGACCTTAAGATCCGACGACGGCGACGGCAGCGAAAACATCGCTTAAAAAGTGAATTCGCGTTCATCCAGTCTTCATCGCGACAGTTCCAACTCACCTACTTTGTCAAATGTAGGCGAACTCTCCTGGAGTTGAATTCCTAAAAAACATATCCAAGTACAGAATGAGAAAGAAAATTTCATAGTAGCTTGTTTACGTCCTCCATAAAACGTGAAATAAGGCATTTTCACGTCGTAGTCGTGCAGTGACGACAAAGAAATGTACAAAGAAGAGAGATGCACGTGCAAAATTGTTGTTTTGCTAATTAAACCTATTGCTTTTGTGACGTTCCCGTTGCCGTCGCCGTCGTCAGATCTTAGGTCCCTATTCCCGGGAGGACGACGGGTAGTTGCTCCCGTATATTGGCCAGGCAGGTATGTGCTGCTTAGGGTTTGCTTTTTGCCTCTCTGACTCTAGAACAGGGTAAAAAAATTAACCACTCGTTATATTTGGAAGAGGGATATTTTTCACTTATCAGTTTGACTGTGGAACAGGGTCTATTTCCCCCCATAATCCCTGATTATTCTGATGATGATTCTCAATCAAGCTTAAGTGCATTCCAAGGTAAATACTGATAATGACAATAATGACAATGTGTACATATTTCATGATATTTTTTCGCTTATTGCCTGAAAAAGGATCTATTTTTTTTTCCAACTATTGTCTGAATAGGGTCGCAAATTTTTTTCTCTAGTATAGTTTGAAACAAGTCCAGAGCCCCAAAGACTCATCAGTACATCCATATATATAGCAAATCTAAGGAGATATTCCCGGGAGAACTGCTAGTACGGTCATTTGTTAAAATGGAAAATTCGAGAAATCGAAATTAACTGCTTACCTTCACAGTGTCGCCCAGTGTAATCTGCTGAACACACACACCGGTAATCATTGTTCTCATAGATTGGATAACAAGTTCCTCCATTTTTACACAATGTCTTGTTACTTCCACACTTATTCTATAGACAATGGAAATTTTAAACATGAATAAGTTAGTTACCATGACAAGTTAGTAGTTAGTGTGTCAATTTTTTTTCCGATATGTGTCATAGTGGAGAAATTTCAGAAAGGTAGTGTTCTAATCTACGCCTGATACCGACCTAGCCGATTTTAGAATTTAGCAGCTTTTCGGTTATATATTTTTTTCTTTTTTTTTTCAAATGGTAAATGCTACTTTCCAAACAAGGCATTTATCATTTGGCCAAACCGTGAAAGAACATTTTGCTCATGTAAATGACAAACAGTTAGTGTATCAGTCTTGGTCAAATGATCGAGGTCTTTAAAGCTAGCATCTTGAAAACAGCAAAAGAAACACCATAGTCTCCCGGTTTTCTTGTTTACTGGAGATTACGTGATTAAAACAAACCACGGGTTAGCTCTGAGAAAAGACTGTTTGGCCAGTACTTACGCATGCGCAAAGTCATATCACCTGGCCATGGTTAAGCACCACTTTATATGGAATTATTTTAAGAAGTAAACAACTATTTACAGGAAGAAGTAAACAAACACCGTCTAATTTATTTCCTTTTCACATGCATTCATAGCCTGCGAGTAGAGAGGAGAAGTCGCCACTACTCGTTGCCATGGTAGCGAAATTGCTCAATCTGAATTGTAGAAAAAACGAAAAAATTAACAAATATTACTTTTCTGCGACCTTCTGTGGTTTGCACTTAGGAACAAAACGGTAGCTCATACTTTTCCGGCCATCGTTCGTCAATGCAAATAACCGTCTCTTCGATCTTCAAGAAAGATTGTCAGTTGAGAGATCAGAAATTTAGGTACCATAAGAAAGTGATGTCACAATTTTCTCTCTATACTTACCTTTTTAAAAAAATGGTGGAAGTTGTCACTGTGACTGTAATTGGCTATACTATTGTACTTGTCAGTGCTGATCAACTCACAGCACTGTTTATTTGTTGTTGAATTTCCCAAGTTGAACGAAAGGCACCGTTTCCATCGCATTACACATTTCATGGCGCAATCTTCCATTGAATCAACAACAGAAGAAGATATCTTGTGGCTTGTTAGGCGATGAAAAGGATCCAAATCAAAGCTAATATACTGAAAAACAGTTGCTGCCGAGCCATGACATCTGATCGGTATCTCTTGGACGTGTAAAGATAACGCAGAGAGGATAATTATTGCGATACCTTGCATAACGATCTTGGTTAGTTTTGACTGAAGACAGGCAAACCTTGTTACTGAAATTAGTGTAAGCGTTACCGCCTTATACGTAAAAAAAGGTATTTGTGTCATGTATATTGAGAAGCAAACCAATTTACACCTAAACTCGACCGTCTAACTATATGTAATTAAGACAATTAACAACTTCAGTTTTTTATGATTTCTTGCTATGCATGTTATAATGCTGTTTTATATTCCAATATTATTTTCTCCAAAGGGCTTTTTGACAACCTTACAGCAATTTCGCTCAGCTATTTGCTGTACTACTGCATGAGAAACTTCTGCAATTTGATTGGCTTAGAGCAGTGGTATTTCAGCTTAATTTGAAATACCTACATGTGAAAATTACAAACCTTTTGCGGGTAGTAGTATAAAAAAATAAAAGCAAAATTTGTACGTGATATTTGGCATAAATACCACCTGGGATATTTCAAAACTGTCTACAAATTTCACTCGCCTAACGGCTTGTGAAATTACGTATAACAATTTCGAAATATCACTCAGGGTATTTATGCCAAATATCACTACAAATCATGCTATTACCAACACTAATTTTCGTGGTTCTAGAAAATCAAATTTGACAAGTTTTTCGAATTTTGTTTTTGGTCATGAAAAAGTATCGACTCCTATCAACTAAAAAGAGAAAGAAAATTAAAAAGTTGATTTTATGTTAACACCTAAGCTAAAGCTACTACTTTTGATTAACAATAGACCTGACTAGTTGGATTTTACTAATTCATGTTATTTATTTTTTTCTTGCGATTTTTAGGAAGTCGCAATTGATAATTATCACACTTTTGTTTCTTCACTTAAAGCTAAGATGTAAAAGGCAAAATGGGCTTATTGCAATTACTCTGTACAATAGGCCAGGGTCATTTAGTTCATTTACTCAAAAGCCAGTCGTCATTTTGGTATGAAAGCGGCGCTCGATCGCGACGATCCTCCGGAACTGTGGCTAAAACATTGTAGTAGTCAATAGACTGGTTTTTTGTTATTGTTGCAACAACCAAAACTAAAAAAAAGATCTTATTAACGACCCCACAACATTACATAAACTTCACAATCTGAGACTAAGGGGGTAATTACATGAGACCGGGACGAACTCAGACCGGTACAAATTTGTAATTTGTGCAGCCGTTTTCATGAGTCCCAGACGAAATGCTTGGTCGATTAAATGAGACTGGTACCGAACTCAAAAACAGGAGATTCTCGGGAGCTATATAACTTTCACAATTCGATTATTGAACATATTACTTACTAACTGTCCTAACTGGCACATGATTTATGCCACTAGACAGTGAGTAGACAACCGAAGAGTTTACTGCTCCCAGAAAATTATAAGCTTTATCTAACGCTCGTCTGGTGGGCTGTTAGTATTTACTGCACAGCATCTTAAAATTGTACAATCCCTCACATTAATCTACAATTTGAAAGTTACTTCCAAGTCTTGTTTACTGATGTTATCATTCATTCATTTATTAGACTTTATTTGGTAAAGCAGGTTAAGTTAAAAGGCAGCTAAAGCTGATGTGGACCTGCTAATGAACTATTATTGATTATATACGAATAAAATGAAAAAATATACAGAAAATAGGTATATGAAAAGAATAAATATATAGTAGCTAGATAAAAGACTAAAAGTTAATAACAATTAAAATACTATTTCTTCTTGTTGAAATTTATATTGTCGAACAAGGGTCTATTTTTCTCAAGAAGCTTTTAGAAAATGTTTAGACTTGGTAATCTTTTCAAAATTGTCTGGAATGGAGTTCCAGAACAAAGCTCCCCTATATCTAATTTACAGCAATAAATATAAAACTTTGCCATTAGAATAAGGTGATTTACAATGACCAAATCTTCTTCTGTATTAATATACCAAATCAAACATTGACAACCGACAAACACTAGACAGATACACCTTGATCAATGCCAGCCAAGCATGTCATCATAGGCTTAAATTGACCGTTACTCATTACGCATGCGTAAACCGAAAACAATAAGAAGCCGAACCATAAGGATTACGCACAGATTTGTTATAAATTGTTTTTACCTAACGATTAATTCAATATATATAGATTTAGCCAGGCGTATATAAATACGTGACCAAATAATTTTTGAAAGGGAACTTCTTGAACTCACCTGTGTTCCCTGATCTATCAATGGTTTGAGTTACAAAACGAACTAGCGAACGGATCATTTCTTGTGTCCCGTGTACATAGGTATTGCATGCGATACTGCTACAGGCAAACAATTATGTCCACCTGTCAAGAGTGTCCACATTTCCTTGCGAGGATGGATTTGCTCAACGGCTCAGCCGACACTGATTTCAAGCGTGCAAACTTTGTGCCTTTAGTTTAAGTCGGTATGAACTCAAAAGAAAAATTGATGACTATGATTCATGTATCCTAAAATTATTTATGTCACAAACGACATTTTTCTCTTTTGTCTGTCCTGTTCAGTTCTCGTTGTTATTGTTGCCTCACTGTGGCCTTCGTAGCAACACCGACGTAGCAAGCGTTTCCAATCGAATTATCACTCCTCTTTTCTGCTCCCGTCCCAACTTTCTCGTCGAACTCGCGCAGAAACAAGCTTGCTACGTACGCTACACAAACTACAAAGTCTTCCTTCAAGTTCTTTTTTTCTAGAGACATATTCATCGGCTTTTGAAACAGCGTAGCCAACACTTGTTAGCACTAAGTCACCAAAGGACACCCCCCCCCCCTAAAAAAAAAAACAAAACAAAACAAAACAAAAAAAAAACTATAAATGATTTTCATAAGAAATCCTTTACATGAAAGAAACTATAAGAGGTGAAAGTCGGCATTTATCTAATTATTATTGTGCCATATAATTTAAGCCTAAATATTTTTAAAAAAGTTATTTGTAGTCTTCGTAAATAGAAGAAGACATTTTGACGCCCGGTTTCCATATGATCGCTACGATCGCTGCGATCGCTGAGAAAAAAAAAATTCAGCGATCGCATCGATCTTATGGAAACCGGGCTTTAATGGATTGAAATGTATATCTGGCCCCAGTTGTTCAAACGTTGGATAGCGCTATCCACCGGATAAATCACTATCCAGCGGATAGCGTAATTGATTTCCGTAATACTTATCAGCTGGATAGTGATTTATCCGGTGCATACCGCTATCCAACGTTTGAACAACCGGAGCCAGTTGTTTATGTGGTTCAAACGGAAGTATTTAACGGTTTTACATTTAAACAGTCCTATCTGTTTTGTTTAATCAAATGAAGAATGATCCTCGCAATGTAGTTTCCGAGGAATTAAACTTAAAATGACAAAATCAGATCGAATCAGAGCTTCGTGTCCTCATGCCGTGACGCAGTGCGTGACGATATCGAGGACATTTGCGTTGAAGAGACCGATTATGGTAACATCTATATTTTCTGAGGAACACCTTTTTTTGTTCCCCTTCCAAAAATTTATCATGTAAATCGATTAGATTATAGATTTATATACACTTTGATGGTTACACTAATATTCTTTAACAGACGCATACGCTTAAATAATAATCATAAAATTATTCGTTCAAAATATCTTCTCCTTTCTGATTGGCTCAACCTCCCCGGATACTTCTTAATTCCTCCTTCGATAACTGGGAAGTTTTAGCGTCGATAAGGAGCATGCAATTACAAGAAGCCCACTACCCCACTCAAAGTTAGTACATGCTAGGGGAAGTCACCGGCTTGCGACGATTCCAAATCTTGCGATTTACCGCTCACATTTAAACATATATTACATATCGCGCGTGTTTTTGAACAAACTAAAGTAAACATTTAAAATACTCTGCTGCCAAAGCCGGAAAACAGTTTGAGAACCTACAACAAATGACCCAACTAGAATTTGCGGGAGCTTTTTTCTGGCTGAAATTTTCGAGAAGATAAGTTTTGATCCCTATCATTTTCGAATCACTAGACTTTCAGCTAGGAAATCCTAACAGATGAAAAATTCTTAGGGAATAAAAATATGCCTATATCTACCGTTTAAATACTAAAACACGTTTAACAATGCTATGTTTAATTTAAGTGGTTTTGAACTATATTCTCGTTCGGTGTCCCTGAATAGAAAAGATGTAAGCAAGAAAGTAATGAAATATTTGAGGACAAACAGCGTATCACGTACACTGAGCTTTCTATTTTCTTCCGGGCTGTGAAGACCAGACCAATTTCATCCTAAATATTGTAGTTTCTGATCGACTAGACGAGGAAGTTGAATTGAGTTTAAAGTCAAGTGAAAACGTGCTATCTAAAGTTACGGATATGGTGTCCAATGTTTACTACCACAGCATAAGAGAAATGTCTGAATTAAATGGTTATGGTTATTCTCGTGGGATTTGTCATGTTTACATTCGGGACCTCGGTGGATCCCGTTCCAAAAATTTACTTGATAATTCTGACCTTGCTTTCAGGAGCTGCATCTCGATGCGTTGATGCGTAATCGACGGGTTGAGAAAAGTCTAGCAGTGAAAGGGTAATTGTTTGTATTTAAAAAAAGAAAATCGCACAATCTTTGTGGTTGAGCTTTTAATTCTTTGATGAACGCATGCGCAGTGAATATGGACAATTATCCTTCGGAGGTCGCAGATTCTGTGAGCTTCTGTGAGGCCCCGAGTGACAATAATATGCGATGCACTATTTTTATGCTTTTTCGACTTACTTCTCTTCTTCACTTACAATTAAAAAATTTAGGAAACCTTCAGCAGAGTAATTTTATACTCTCAATCGTGCGTATCAGAACCCCGATTCCTCAACTCACGTCATTTGCTAATCCACTGCGATCACCTCAACCTTTGATGGTTTTTTTATCTAGTGAAAAATATCGTTTGTTAAAATTGTTTTCTTCCTAGCAGGTAGATTATGCTGCAGAGAGTGTGTAGAGGATACTGGGCCCAGCGTCACAAAAAAAGACTCACGGACCAAGCAAAGAAATTTCTGAGAAAACTAAGGCCCGGTTAAGAGCCAAATCTAATTCGAATTAAGGTCAACTCAAACTATTTGGACCACCTGAATTGATTTAGACGGAGATCTCAATTCCATTGGAACTAAATTCAAAAGGAGAAAAATGCTCATTTTTGTCAAACTGCTTGCAAAATACCTCACTGTAATTAATTAGGCACATTAAAAGTTCGGCGTCTGAATGAAAGCTGTTCGAAAAGTCGATCTACTGTCAAAAAAGTCGATCTACTGTCAAAATTTCCGGTCGGGCTAGGAGGCAAGAACGGCTGAGCAGTTTCAAAGAGAAAAGCTTACAATTTTACCTGTCTCTCACATAGGGTTTCTGTGTTACTTAGACTCAGACGAGATTTTGTTATAAGGAAGATGATTAGAAAAAATTATGAATGCTGCTTTGCGAAGATTTCTTAAAAATTTCATGTTAAAACCCTTCAGAAGTGTTGTAGGGAGACTACAAAAGTAAGTAGCTTTTTGCATTCCAACGTGTTCATTGCGTTTGGTTGTTTCCTTCTTATCTGAACCATTACTTAATTTTGCCGACATATATACATGCGCAATCAGTACGGACTGCGAGTGTGGACTTCAATGCGGAAGACCTTAGACAACGATGACCTCAATCGGGTTGGGCGTCCAGCGGTTTTAGTGAAAACAAGGGTTTGGGCGGGATGCTTAGTCTCGCGGGCTCATAAGACCTGGTCTCGGTCATTCTTACTTCAGGATTTTCCTTTAATGCGGGGAGCTGGAAAGGAGTGCAGCTGTGCTGTGAGCCCTCCCGGATAATCCGGGAGACTCCAGATTTTGGACCGTATCTCCCGGTCTCCAGATTAGAGTATGAAATCTCCCAGATATTCTCCAAAGTTTGCAGTTTAGTTGTAGACTCGACTTTCCGACAATAAGCTTTTAAATATTTCGTGTTGTTTGAGCTATTTTACTGTTAACATGGTTAACATTGAACGTTTCCTCAAAAACTTCGGTATGATATATTATGCCACAAGCATTTTCTGCACAAATGACATCATACACCGTGTGATATGACATCATCTATCATCCCTTCCCTATCAATTCTCAATATTTGAAGACGTGGCAGGTTAACAGCCCTGTGCAGAGTGGAAGCAGGGCTTGCTGGGAAGACCCTTGACCCTGCTGTGCTAAAAACTAGTAATAACCAAAGATTGGGGAGTGCAAGAGGACAAAGATAAAACTGCTCTTGGGCCAAAACTGTGCATTGTGAAAATTTTGTATGATGGAAGTTCAAACTACACATGATTAGGTTACAAGTGAGAGAAGGTCCAAACGTGCGTGATCAGATTGCGTTCTATGCATTCCATTCATTGTTGGATGGTGGAAGTCCAAAGGAATGCTGGGCTACATATGTGCTCTGCATGTGTAATAAAAACCTGGAGATGATTGCAGGCTTCTCTGGTCACTTGCAATAATATCCCCAGATAAGCGGTCAGTTGCACGCGGGGATGAGTCAGTATTCTAACTTAATATATAAACACCAATGAAATATCATGTGAGCTTTTGAGTGAAGACATGATACCTTCACTGTTATGGTCTCCCTCTGCGTTTTAAATTATAGTAATTACATGCGCACGCATAGGTTTGTAGTGAACCGCCATGTTGTCCGGATCCATTCTCGGATTTCTCGTCAGTACATGACATTCACATAGGACACGGCTGCCATGGCTACATAATAAATTGTGCATTTCAAAGCAAAAACCTATTAAAGTGAAAAGGTTTGGTATTTTAATCGTGTTTATATAAAAAATAGAACATTACATGGCCACTTGGAGATAGGAATATCTTCTCTGCACTCACTCATGAATTACTTTTCAACACTTCTGTATCTCTGTACAGCCATGTAATATCCTCTATCTGACCTGTCAGAATAAGATTGGGGTCAGAAATGCTAACTAGTACTCCACGAACGCAGACTACTTTCGTCAGTTGTAAGATTATTTTATTCTTTAAACATTAAGCTTTCAGTGAGACAAGTCAATACAAACGCTGAGGCTTTCCCATTGTGCTCTTAACGTAGAGAGCACGTACATTCTGCCAGTTCTTCTTCAACAGCGACACCAAAAAGTTGACAGCAAGATAGACATTTGCCACAAGTTCATCATGGGACATCTCAACATGACCAATGGCCACAGCAAGACACAGAACCTGGTGATTAAAGAGTCAAAACATCTTATCGAAATTACAACCAAAAAGCACTTTTCAATGTTAAAATTTCTGTACATTAATTTTCAGTGCAGAGAACACACAAACAACAAAAAAAGGATACAAAATATTGAAATTTATAACCTGTCCCCCGAGCCTTACTTTTACATTGAATTTTATCAGGATTTCACTATATCAAGAGGAGCCAAAAACGTTTTAAGGTATTTACCTACCCCCTAAACCCCACAGGGCACAAAGAAACTCAGTTTTACAGCTTCCCATCTGAGCAAGCTGTAGCTAGCATGTACTAGCCCAAAAGTCATTTCAACTAGCCCTAAAAACGTTTTCATGAGCAAGATTGATTACACAGTTCTTCCGTAATTAGAATTTCTCAAAAAACTTCACTTGCCTATCAGGCAAGTTAAGAACAAGATTCACCAACCCGATAGCAAAATCCACTAGCCCCAAGCTATCGAACACTACTTTCTTTGCACGCTGTATCACCCAACATCCCTGCACTCTTTAAGTCAGAACAAATTTTAAACTCCAAAAAATGGTCATTGTATATAAGAGGTTGTTAGGGGAAGGCCCACCATAATTATGACTTACCAAAGAAGCACAATCTGCATAACTGAGCAATTTTATTAACTGCCCGGTTTGTTGCAAACTCTGTCGACTGTCACAGTCTCCCCAGATATTTAAGACCCTGGGTGCAGGTCCGACCAGATAAATAAACAGTGATCTGGTCTTCCAGAAAATAAGGCCTTACCAGTGCTCAAAAGTAACACACAAAAACTCTGGTCACACACAGAACATGATATTCGACTTAATGTTCATGCAGCAACAAATATTTAACTGTACATTGATCTTTTAGTCCTTAGAAATTCAGAAATTACTATGTTTTGTAAAATCCTTGGAAATGAATAGTACTATGCAAGAGTTCTGCCAAAGAGGCTAAAACACACCAAAGACGGCTGTTTGTCCACAAGTTGGTTTAGGAGGAGAATGGTGAAGGCGTAACTCTTAACCAGACATGAGAATGAATGAAATAATCACCAAAGATAAAATGTCTTGATGTTTGAGCAAATTCCTCCCAGCAGTACCATAAGAAATGTACGAAAGATAGTAAGGAGAATATATATTTTGATATAAGGGCTTAAAGAGTTGATAAGAACTAAAACCTCATGAAAAAAAAATATGGCAAATAAAGACTAATATCTGAAAACAAGGATTTGAGTTGTTTGAGCACTGTGCCTTATATCTGGTGAATATCCTACCTTCTTCATCTGAAACTTAATTGTTGAGCGCACTTCCTCCACCTTCTGCACCATGTTGTCGTTGTGCGTCAGTGCTGTGGGAAACTTGCCAGCCTTGTTCAGACCAGGACCAAGAATACGGGGAATCTGTCTGATCAGACTGTCTGAAGCCAGGAAAGCATCATATTTCTTGGCTACAAATAGAGAGAAAATAACTTTAACTCCTTGTCTGCAGCCAATTATTTCAATGTATTTTGCCATGTAACTTTAAAAAATCATATCTCTGGTGTTATTTACAGTTCAATATCAAGCTATACCTCATTGGAAAGGGAAAAGAATACCCTTTCGAAAAAAAAATATTTCGGTCATAGGAAACCCATAATATTCCGCCACAAAAAAATTAAAAAAGCATATTTTGCATAAAAATTTTTAAAATTTTAAAGAATGTCATTTAGCTAGGAAACTTCTTTATTTTGGGTGATATGGTAGCAAGAAATATTTTTCATCAATATGTAAGTAAAAAAAACCCGAAAATCGTTCTAAAATATGGGCGACTAGAAATTTTCTACAAATTTTTTTCTGCACGCTGTCATGATTATGCTAATTGGATTATCATAATTAGAGCGTCACCTCGTGACCCCATGTTTACTTCACTGAGGCGCTTTGTTTCCTCGATTCCAAAAAAAAAATATCGAGTTAGGGACAAGCAGACATGAATTTGCTGATAGAATTCATCAAAATAAGCAAGAATTTGACAGCGAAAAGCGAAGCGAAGGCAAAACGGGAAGGAAATCGTCGCCGTTTCAAGAACATGTGGCACAGAGTGGGCGATCGGCGATTTGCATGCACAGATTCTAATTGTTTCCTAACCTCGATTTTCGCGTTTATTTTGCTTGTTATCCTCCAAAATCCTTCAGAATAGCTTGTTTGACTTGTATTTGGTTGACATTCGTCGATACAAGCTTTCATTATTCGCAAAACCGGCTCACAAAGATTCCCCGCGACTCGCCATAAAATTCAAAATTTTCGAAAACCCGGTGTGTGACGGTCAAAAGTCGACAGGGGCTGGAACTAGGCAGGTGAGTGGCTAAATCTATTAACTTCCTGTGTGCCAAATTTGGGAGCAATCGGAAGTAACACAATTTTTTGCGAAATTTCTTTGGTCACCGTTCCTGAAGCTCCGATTTCGGCGACCCCGGAAGACGAAGGGTTAAAAAGTAATGCAATAAAATTTTTCCATACCAAACTACTGTTAAAAAAGGTAATACAGTGACAATCCATCACACAACTACCACGCAGTGACAACAAAAAACTTCTTTTCTTTTGCACTTACAATTTCATTAACTGGACCCTGTGATCTGAAACATTGCATGGTCAGAATGCACCAAGTAATGGAATAAAAAAGTGTCATGAAGCAAACAATAAATAACTAAGGAAATGAAACAGATGTTTCAGTGTAGAGTGTACACCTTTGGGACCAACCCTAGGTGTCCATTTAACAGAGATGTCCATCTTATAAAGAATCAACTACAAGGAGTAAAGAAAGGCAGGGACCAACTCTGGGTGTCCGTTTTTGCAAGGTGTCCGTCTTATAGAGGTGTCTGTTAAGAGGAAGTTGACTGTATAACCCCTCTTCAGTGTTGAGAAAACTGTTACACTGCGCAATTGTCATTAGACATAAAATGAAGTGCATGTGCATGTAAAAAGTACTATGCGCAAGATGTAAGTCAGAGTTCAAAATGAAGCTGAAATTGATATTTTAGTCCTTTCGGCTGAATGGTTCCTAGGACGGAAATTATTCTCATTTCATGCTGCTTCTGTTGGATGTTGGTTCCACTGCATACAGCCACACCACGCATTTGGACATTAGAAAACCTTTGCCGCTTGGGTGTTGACATGTTGGGCCACAGGAGACCCATGAGTGATGTGTGGATTCTTTATCTCAAGTAATTTTTGTTTTTCTTGTTTTTTTGGGGGTATGGTAAAGTATGCTAATGAAGTTGAAACAAAGGAAAAATAAGAATTACCTGAGATAAAAAAAATTAACAAAAACATATACAAATACGCCTATATAATCCACATACCGAGATGAATAATATCTTTCATTAAATAATGACAACCCTGTTACAAGTGCTGATGACCTTCTACATGTATCCCCAGTGGATACATGTAAGTTATTAAATATGACCAGTTAACAATAATGACTAAAAATGACAGTAATTGCAGGACTTTGGAGGTTTCCAGGACCTGTCTGTACAAACCACTCGTGAAACTCTTTTTACTCACCAAGCTTTTTGACCAGTTTCTTGTTCTTGTTTAGCTTCTTTAAAGCTTCAACATCCATGCAAGGGATGTCATTTGCCTTGGCCTCGTCACAGTGAGATGCATCACCCAGAATACAAACCTTAAGTTTGGGTCGTGGAATATGCTTGAGCTTTACCGTTCCACTGAAACGCTTATCCTTCTGAGGATCATAATTCTTTAAGCTGATCTGCAGCTCAACAGTTTCCGTAAACTTTCTTTTCTTGTCCTTGGCACCTTGCAGTACAGCACTGCAGCACTCAAACAGTGTATCACGGTGGAGCTTACTAGAAAAGATAAAAAAGGAATTAAGGTGGCTACTATCGGCAGTATCATAAGTTTATGTAACTCTAAAGTTAAACAGGGCTTTTGATATTATGCGATGGTGCAGCGGTTTCACACAATTGGCCTCAAATTGCATCTGATCACACAATCTCTTATGAATTTTCAAAATCCTTTGTATGGCTATTTAAAAGTACCGGTAAGTTATTAACTTTATTAGAATCAAAATTTCATGTCCTGGGAAAACATGCGGTGCTCCAGATATTCAGGTATCCATGACCTTTCATCAGGAGCAGCAAAAAAAAAAAGAAACACTTTGTTGAAGTCATATACAGTGGAGGCTCTGGTAAGTGGACACACTAGAGACAAGAAAGAAGTGTCTGTAACTAGAGCTGGTGGCTTGCAAAAATGATTCTCTTATGCAGCCACTACAGGTGAAAGGGTAAGATGGCTGCTTACAGGATCTTGCCTAGCTACAAATTAAGATATACTGGGAATGCAAAAATACTGTTGGTTAGTGTTTGGCTATACTCTTGCTCTGACGACGTTGTAACTCAGGCACAAGCATAAAATCTAAGAGGCGTTTTGAAGTGTTACTGGATGTTTTAATGAGAAAAACAAACTCCGAAATTGATATAAATTCATTGTGAAAAACAACAATATAGAAACAAAACACAAGATTGACAGATGAATGAGATTCTTCACTTCAGATGTCAGCTTACGGAGCTTAAAAACAAAGCTAACATCTCGCTCGTAAACCCTGAAACTCTCTGAGGCTGCCTGCAGGAATTATCTACTTACAGAACTGAAAAAAATAAGATTTTGTATGGGAGTTAAATTACGGGGTTTTCTGATGGCGGTCGTATGTAGAACTTTCCGCTTAATGGGAGTGTCTGTTAGGAGAGCTTCCACTTTACTGTAACAGCCAACTTTTTCTGAGTCAAAAGTGTGAGATTTTCATTCTGTCATGACCAGATTTTCCAGAAACATCTAAGCGACTTCCGAATATGTCTGATGATTTTCTGAAGACTTTCAACATCGCCGAAAATAATAGAAGTTGTTCCAAAGACCTTTAAGCACTTCCGCAGCTATTTCAAATGCAACAATTTAATAGTGAATTATGATATAGTTAGGACACAAAGTCAACATTAAGCACTGTTTGGGAATAGTTTGGGTGAAATTGAATTGAATTTCTTCCATCAATCATTTGTTAAAGAACAATTTGTCCGGATTTGTGAGTCAGGCATGAGAGATTGTCCTTGATGTGTGAGATCGATGTCTTTAGTCTGGAAGCGTGAGACTCACACAAAATAAAAATAAAACTTAACGAGCGGTTTTTTAAGTAAACGTAGTCTTACATTTTAACATCATTAGCTAACACAAATCATTAAGGTGCCAATTCACCGATATAGCAATAGAAGTGCTTATTTGAGTTTTCAAAAGTCACTACGATCTAGATCTTCTTTCCTAATATAATTTAAAATTAATATCTGCCTCTGACAGCAGCAAAAAAGGTAAGACTTTCGAATAACCCAATCCATGCAGTAATTTCATACTATTTCTCCCATTGAAATGGTTGATGTGAGAAATGCATGCACAATAAATGTATGGGGGATACGAAAATTTTATTCCATAAAATCTACACATTGATGACAAAACATTAGCATCTGCTTTATTTACAATATTTTCGTCTTCTTTTAGTCTTTATTGTGACCCGAATCCTAGCTAGCGATCCGTAGTGATCCGGGAGCCGCATTGGTCTCATTGATGCTCGATAAACCCTCGTTTGAACGGTACAGCCACGAAAATAAAAGCTACAACAAAAGCCGATACGGACTAAAACGTCCTGAAACCAAATTTCTTTAGTGTACACAACTCGATGGCAAGAAAAACGCCGTCAGTACATTGGATTTCTAAATACAAACCTCATCCTGGTCGCTTCGTTCGTAAAGAGAACGAAAGGGAAGGAAAGAATTAGTTATGAAGTCTGCTGACCATTCGCGGGCGGTGAACATTCCTGAAACAAATGGGAAGAAATGAAGAAAAGAAAAAGAGAATGAGGATGAGAGAGGAAAATAGCAAATAGAAAAAAATGGAAAATAATTATGACTAGCAGTAACGAAAAGTTAGGAAGTGCGGGCGATTGATGTTTTACAACCTGAGTGCTTGTATCCTGTGAATAAAGCCGTATCTCCTCGCTCCTCGCAGTTACAGACGTCTGCAACGACAAAATGCAATCCTTTTTTCCCCTATGGTGAATTTTCCCCGTAATCAAGTTCCAGGGCCTCCGTTCTATCTGTCGAACAGCCTGGGGACGAATCTACATTCTTTTAAATAGTTTGAATGAATTAAACTAAGAAAGAAAAAAAAGAAGTAATAATAACACCTAATGCACCGCCGGTAAGTTCAGTACGGCCCCAAAACGCTTTCTATCGACAGTGAATTGAAATGAGTGAGTGCCAATTTTCTTCATTTTACACCTTCTTGATGGAACCTATGATAGAGCTGGAGCCGGAAAGGTATACTTTTTCGGCCAGTTCTATCATATCTCCGCAAAAATTGCCACCAGATATAGGTGAGTTGAAATTTGAATATTTTTCACGATTTGTCGGCAGATCGGTAATAAACACTGAATTGGACATTTCAGCGAAATTATTTTTTCAAACTAATTAACTTCCGCTGGTTTTGTTGCTGCTGCTGTTTGTCAAACCGGCCATGGCCATTGTCCGATTTTGCTTTATGGGATAATTAAGCATAGACTGTTTAATTTTCCAGGAACATTTACGGGCGGATCCAGAAACTTCCAAATGGGGCGGCCGGGGGGCTCGCTTGAATTCTTTAAAAATAATGCAAAATTTCACAGGAAAAGGGGTGGTGGCTGTCTACTCGGCCATGACGTTTTCAACAATCTATTTTGCAAGGACAAATAACTAAATATATTCAAAGCTTTTCACGTACCCTGAAGATTTTGCAATGGTATTCTTCTGACGCCAGGACATGAGGTAACTACATCACGACGATAAACCGGCGCGAACGAACAAAATGTGAGAGAAAAATCAGTGTACCTTAGCCATCTTTCCCGCAAGCCAAACACAGTTTCGAACCCTGATAGATATACGAATTAACTTGCTTTACCGGCAGGGCAGCATGGCCGAGTGGTCAGCTCTTCGGACTCGTCATCCGGCGGCCCCGTGTCCCGCTCTGGCGACTTGCTGGATTTGTTCTCGGTCATCCCGAGTTCAAATCATCGGGCACGCTTGTATTTAGCCAACTGGTTGCCTCATGCCATTTAGGGTTTTTAATCCTGTTATGTTGTATTTGAATTTTTTTGTTTCAAATTATTTGATTGGAGTGTCTGTAAACTACCTGGATAAGCTAAGTGCACTTTCCACTATAAACAAGCCTTTACACACTTTTTTTAAAACCAACCATGCCAGAACAAGCAAATTTTGTACCTAACAATATCCGTTTAAAACTCTGCATGGTGCCTTATTTAATTTCTTAGATTAAGGTGATGTTACAAGAGACGATTCACAACGACGATTTTTAGCGCAAGACAGCGTTGCAACATTGTTGCGACGTTATTTCGAATGGTTGCAACATTGTTTCAGCATTGCAACGCTGTGTTGTGCCAAAAATCGCCGTTGCGAATCCTCTGGTGTATCATCACCTTTAAGGGCGGGGGAGCCGAAGTGAACACTATTTAAAAAAATAGATCCCAATCGTTTAAAAAATACTTTTTATTCTCTAACATCGACAAGATAGAGTTGATTTCAGTCTTTCGATTCCGTGATCATGAAACTCCACTGAATGGCTTCTTTGTGACGTAGTCAGACAGTGATTTCCATTCTCAACCATTAAAATGACAGTACGCACAAAATAGAGGTTGTTTATTATCTTTCCAGCTGTTTCCAAACTTATCTCTTGGTCATTTGAAGTTTGACCAGTAAAAGGTTCGGGCCTTCATGGTCAAACGACGGATCTTAGTTCCTCGCTGATAAAGAAAGGGACCTTAAAGAAAAAGATAGCAACCAGGGGCCCGTTTCTCGAAAGTCCCAATAACTTTTCGCGCCCGAAAACCTGTTTTTTGTTTGTCATGTTTGCATTCAACATCAAAGTTTCAAACATTAACCACAAAGGAGTGCAAAGGATCGCAAACGAATATGCCGAAGAACGTAGGATCTATAAAGACCTGATCAGCAAAAATGAAAAGTAGACATATTAAATTCTGCGAGCAGAATCACGCTGCAATGTTGATCGTACTAAGTGAAAATTTTCATGTAGTACGATCAGCATCAAAGTTTCAATAGTTTTCAAAATGATATAATGAAACTATCAGTTAACGAAGCAAAATTGGTCTGTTTGTAAGATACGACCTGCGCTACTATTCAACAGGTTTTGATTTCAAAATTTGCCTTCCCACCCGAAAAGTTACCGGGCTTTCGAGAAACGGGCCCCAGGCCCCTGCGAACCTTACCTAGTCGGTCACGTGAACTGAACAAATAAGCTTCATCCCGCGCGGCTTATTCGTTTAGGTCATGTGGTGGATAAGTCACTTAAAAGGATGATGGTGAAGGCCTGGGAAAACACCGTTCTGGCAAAAGGCAATAAACCAGTATTTTTTTGAAAAATTTTAACCGGGAAGAAAACGAATATTGTATTTATTAAGAAATAAGACTCAAACTGGCAACAAACCAGTTGCTTCCGTGACTATTAAACCGCATGGAATGGCTTCCTTGTGATATGTCAAGGCTATATTCCTGACAAACAATCATTGTTTTGACTGATTTTAATTTTCCCCTTCGATGGGTATGTTCTCTTATTGCAAGACAAAGATGAAATATCAGTTGTGTCAGGACACCATCAAGAGCCTGAATTTCAGACATTCCTTGAGAGGAATATGCGACTCGAAGGGATCAGTCTGAAATTTAGTCTCGGCGCATTCAATAGATTGGACGAACGTTGAAAAATTCCCGGTAAAAGCAAATTTTAGCTTTAAAAAATGCGGGCTTGAAAGGACAC